TATAGTCGGCAGATCCAGGCCGTTCCGACTTACATACATATATACTGCAAAAGAAAGAAGGGAGTGTGCAAAGTTTCAAGTCGATAGCTTTAAAATTGAGAGACTAGTTCGCGTAGAAACAGACAGACGGACATGCTCATATCAATTCAGGAGGTGATCCTGATCAAGAATATATATACTTTATAGGGTCGGAGATGTCTCCTTCACTGCGTTGCACACTTTTGGAGAAAATTATAATACCCTCTGCAAGGGTATAAAAACTTAATAGCATTTTTTTGGAGTTTGGATTGGACAATATATAAGTAGAGCCATTTAAGTTTGCAACTGATAGAGGTTCCAATATAATTAGGGCTCTGGAAAATAATATTTGCGTCAACTGCAGTAGACATTTACTGTCAAATGTGCTATCAGTTACGAAAGAATTATCGGAGACAAAGAAGGCTTGCAAGAAGCTAACAAAATATTAAAAAGGGAAAACACGTTTAAAAAACAAAAAAAAAAATGGGCGGTTATAAATGGAGTTTTGGTATGTAATGACGAAAGCCTACGCCTATATAGGCATAGTGAAGTCATTAGTAGAAGTTTGCGAGAATATGGAAATTATTTTTAAGAAACTTCAGACAAAAAATGCTCGGTTATTCCGTCAATTTAAAAAATTAACGAAAATTTGTGTCCAAATCCCAATAATACAGCAATCATTAAATTCAAACGAAACATTGACAAGGTATGGATGGAAAACCTTTTTTTGTGTCATAAAGTTTAATTTTTTTTTTGTACCCTCATGGTATATCAATGCAAACAGCTGATTTGGACATAGTAAAAGAGTTTTGTGTTTCTTTATTTACTGATAAACCAATAAAATATAGTACTTCCTAACTGATTCTTTGGATCAGTCAATAAATACCTTAAGCGATGCCTATTTCTTTTCAAAATTAATCAATAAAGCAGCGTATAAGACAGAGGAAACCCCAAGCGAAAAAAGTCAAATATTCCAGAGAAATTGTTGAAATGTCGAACAATTTCAATATAATCGATAAATGGAAAACTAATAAAAGCAAATTTTCAAGGCTATATACGGTTGCAATGAATTTAAACTCCATACCAGCAGCAGAGAGCTCTTTTTCATTAGCTGGAAACGTAATAACAGAGATGCGTAATAGACTTGCACCTGGCTCTTTTGATAGTATAATATTTTTAAAAACCTTTCTTTAAAATAAAAATAAATTGGAAAATTTAAAAGTTATATTAAATATATAAATTTGAAAAATAATTGAAATTTAAATAAATTTTATAATATTTGCTTTATTTTATCTTAAAATCTTTTTTTTAACATACAATTTAACAATTGATTTGATTACCATTTGGGCATGAGTCTTTGATCATACTTAATCATACTCGTTGCAGTTCTCTGATTTATACTTTAATAAATATGTACTTATATATGTATATGAATTAAATTTCTTTTAAATTTATTTATATGGGTAGACAAGTTTCGTGGGGTGACTGGCCGGGCCCGGGCCTCAGTGAAAAAGTTTCGGGTTCGGCCGGTCTTCAACACTCCTGAGCCAGGATGTGCAAAGACGGATCAAGCAGATAATGGTGCCATCTCTCATCGACGAAGAGACGAGGAATGTGAGAAGTCGCATCAGCCAGGTAGTGGGCTGTCTGGTGCGTCACGAAGCGAACAAGACGCACTCTTGGGTGTCGGAGCTTTTCGAAATGACATATTTGCATATTTGCCTCTAAAATATTAATATTAGTTTATATATAAAAAAAATTTTATTTTAAAATAAGAGTTTATTTTAAAATTAGGAATTTAAACAAAAGATTGTTTGAAAAAAAAAATGAAGAATAAACGAAAACAAGAGGTGAGTTTATTAGAGAACCTCCTACTGGAGGCCTCTAAGGAAACTGAATAGAAATGTGAAAAGGCTCACCTTTTATAGAAAATGGAGCTAACTCAGAAGTCATGGCCTTCTGGTTTACATAGGCTTTAATACCAAATTAGTATTACCAATGTTAATAAATGCCATTGATAGGCTACACAGCCACACTTGAGGGTTCAAAGGGCGGCAAATTTTAAAATTTAAATGAACCGCCACAGAAACCTAATCTTTTCTTTGGAACACTTCGTCTCCGATTTCTAACATCATAAAATTAGTTTACACTCAGAAACGTATTACCAGTTTCATAATTTAAATTTGACAGTAGCCAGTCCTTGTTATTTTCTTCTCTTGATTCTATGGGGAGGATAAACCCGGATAAATTCTAAATGAAAATAGGACTGTTTTTTTTTTTAAATCCATAACAATATTCGTGTATGTATACGTATACCTTAATAAATATACATATATTTATTTTTTTTTGTAAAGCCTAGTACTGAGTTGACGAAAATCCGCTGTTGAAATTCCGCTAGCGAAATCGCACTTTATTCAGCTACCGAGCTAGTGTGACCAAAAAAATTAAGAAAAAGGGTAATACTGGACAGCTGTTGTTTGTAAACAAAAAACCAATAGGGAAAAATGAATTGAAATCAATTAGATGTTGGTGTTTTGTTTATGTATTTCGCCGCTAAGGAGCTGATTAAGAAATAGAAAACTGGGTCAAAATCAAAATCAATCACAAATCATTTCAATGCCATTTGATGGAATTAAAAGGCCCCTTATGGGTCAAATCCCATAATATAGGCTTTGCCTTGACCGCACTAATTAATTTCAATTTATCCTCGCGCGCCGAAAATTTTTCGGTCCGACAATTTTTTTCTTTCACATTTTCGCTCCATGTTTTAGCTATCAAAATAAATCAAATGAATTATTTCAACACCCCAAAATCAGCTGTTTATTTTTTTGATCCGGCAACGCCATTCAATTTGATAGCTAAAATTTTCCTCAACACAGTACTCGAAAAATTTAGGAGACGAAAAATTCTTCTTCTTCCTTTTTTTACACCGTTTATTTTTATATGGAGTTTGACAGCTGTCAGATTTTCGACAGCGGATTTTCGTCAACTCAGTACTAGGCTTAAGGGGTTATATACCTTTTTGAGCGAAAAAATTGAGGGAACTTTGGATTTTTATTTCGTGTGTGTAGCAATTATTTTTTGACACTGAAGTTATTTTTTATTGAAAGTACATGTTTTTATTGAAACAATAAGCGTTTGTTCTTAAAAAAATATGAACAATTTACAAAGTTATGGCAATTCCCTCGGAACCCTTCTTTTTTTTATAGCGGCTTGCGGTGACCACGATAGCAGTCCAGCCGGTCAACCAAAATCCAAAAACCAAAAATTTTTTATTAGTATAATATTATATCCAGTTCGTGAACGATTAGTTTCAAGAATATTTGGTTTTTCCTGCATACAGTAAAAATTTTTCGAAAAAATTTATGTTTTCAGTTCTAAAAATTTTATTAAAAAATTTTTATCTGCGAAATCAAAATGGACGCAAAAAAACTGAATCGTTCACGAACTCGGCACAATCATTACGAATAATTTAAAAAAAAAATGAAGAAGATCGATCAAATAGTTTTTGTGTAATCGTGGTCACGGCGAAGGCACTTTTGGAAAAAAACGACTTTGAGATAATCGCATTCAAAGTAGCTTGACGCTGTCCGCAGCCGTGACGAACCGCGCCTCAAAACGCTGTTTTCCTATCGAACTATTATTCGGATCTCCATGAAACTTTGGGAAAATATTCTCTAGGGGATATACTTTAGGATTCAGCAAAAAAAAATTTTTCGTTTTTTTGAAGAAAAAAAAGGTATATAACCCCTTAACATTTGAAAGTTTTTTTTACAATCTGTCCTCAGTTAGGGACAATAATTAAATTTTTTAAGTGAACCTTGACAATAGGAGTTTGATAAATACAAGTTATGAATCTAAAAAGATTCTTTGCTGTCCAGCAAATTGGTGGCACATTTGTTGGGATGTCGTGTTAGCCTGTCCTTATATTTAGCGGCGAATCTTCGCTGACTGACTGTAGGGATGCCCAGTTGAGCATGAATTGTCAAATTGTCATGGAAAGGATGAGCCCTGACAGCGTCCTGAGAGCTCTGTTCTGTGCCAGCTGAATGACTTTCATATTGCTTGGACTAGCGTGCCCCACAGTTGGATGCCATACGTCCAAACTGGCTTCACTATGGACTTATATATTAGTAGTTTTACCCTCAGCTTCAGGGTTGACTTTCGTCCAATCAACCAGTAAAGCTGCCGTAGCTTTTCCTGTTCTTGCATTCGTTTACGCAGTAAATGGGTACTCCATGTTAGACGCCTATCCAACGTCATTCCCAAGTATTTAGGGGTTGAGTTAGGTGGTATGGCAGTGCCTCCGATGCTAATCTGTGGACAGTCGCCTTTTTTGAAGGTAAATGTTGTTTGGGTGGACTTATCATGATTAATCGCAATGTTCCATCTTTGAAGCCACGGGTCAATGGCATACATATATATAAGTAGCATGTCATTTAAATTTCCTTATACATATGTGTAAATAAGTTTCGTGCCGGGCCGGGCCGGGCCTCTCTTTGAAATACATGTGTAAAATTTTATATTCAGTTGGTTTCTTCGTAAATGTTGGAGCCGAACAGACTTGTAAAATTTTTTCCTTGATTCTGTTCTTTCCTCTCAGAAGTATTCCAATATAGGTACCGCATTTTCTATTACGTCACTCGAACGAACGAGGATCTTGGGGACAGTCGCTATCATCGGAAGTCAAGGATACTTCTCAATAATTATCGCCCCAGTGTTATGACAGAATTCGTTACATTTGTTACATTTATCGGTAATTGGCTTGAAAGACATATATGGATGATTCCTATATTTTTTTAAAGACCATGAGGGAAATTGACATGAAGACATGAAATTTATACATATATGTACATATGTATATATATAAGTACATTTTTATAAAGGTACATACATGAATATTGGGATTTACAATTTAGTAAAAAATAAAGTGTCATATTTTTATTAAAAAACTTGCTGACATTTATCTAGTCTAGATTATCTTATATTCCATTTTGCCAGTATGCATGATTGGTATTAGTACAGGCATCCGAAGGTACGTTCGGAATCATAAAAGTGCGATAGTATACGAACTGATGGTTGGAAGTCATTAATCGTACCGAAATCAAAAAAGCTGTCGGGCGGCGGGAAGTTGGTAGCCCCCCATAACTAATTAAGATCGTCCAAGTGATGTAATGGTCCTGATTTTCTCGGAGAATATCTCGGATCTCGGCTTCGAGGTCAAACCAACAATAAACAACATTAAAATCACCTGTAATATAAAATTTGCATGTTATTCATTTGAAATTCACCCTCTAATCAGTACCCTCTAAAAGCCTAATTATACCGATTGACCAAATCGAAGTTTCACTTGCCATCACTCCATTTGGTCCATCACTCTCAGTTTTCCGAAGAAATTGATCAAATTTGGTTTATATATTGAATTATGTAAGAACCATTGGCTTAACTAGAATTTGGTCTTATTCAACATTATTTTTAAAATCTACAGGTGCCAAGTAAAATTAAAACATGGCACCTTGCAGTTACTATATCTTGGCAATAAGTATGGTAAAATTGTATCAATTTCTTCTCTTAGAAGAAACTTTGGGTGATGGAACCTTCATATGATTGTCCAATGGGTATAGAGTTAGTGAACTAAGCTTTTTTGCTGTCGGCCTGTGTTTTTTATAAAAATGTTAGTTACATAAGTTACATGTATGTATATCACCTGCAATTGACACCGCACGATTCACTGATGGACTCTGTGGAACGAAATTCCATGCGAAACTAGGCCCCCCAAGAGAATCCGCCAAAAGATGACCTTGTTCGTCATTGGTATTTCGATTACCTCCGCGGTACCAATCCATTTGTTGCATACGCTCTGCTATCGAATAATGAATTGGTGCTCGACGGTTTTGTGCCGCGATATCATACGTGAGAGTAGCTTGCATCGTGACGGTTAAGTCAATGGGTTGTGCGTGATTTTGGTTGGCCGGAGCTGTAATCGTGGTAAAATGATTAACTGCGTGTCTATTATCATTCGACACGTCAGTGGTAATGGTTTCTGCACTATTGCGTAGATCGGCAGCTATGAGTTCTATATAATTGTAAAAGTTTTGCGCGGGGGTGGTAGTTACAGGAGGGGGGCAAATAAAATTATTGGGATTTCTCTGTCTTCTGGGGCGATTCGGTTCACGGTGGCACAATTTACTCTTATCGTTGAATGCCGCATAAAAACTATTCACACGTCCATTTAACCTCGCAAGCACTTCACGAACACGAACACGACCCCTCTTCGTTCGAATTGATGTCTGGTTATTACTCGATGCTAACAAGTCGCCTATAAATGATTCAAAATATATATGTTTATTACATTTATAGTCTTTAAAATTCACCAGTTTATAAAAATATGTTGTTTACTTACCAATGTGACGTGAATTGGTCAACCCAACTTCGACCTGATAGGGTGCGCTGCACAAAACCGCAACAGAGAGACATAGACCCATAAAAAGGACAAACAACTTCATGTTTAAAGAAATGCACGAAATGTATGAATTGAAAGAGAATGTTTCCCGGCGAAGTCTCATACGAGAATAGAATATATATAATGTGAATGCCAACATATATACCTATTCTTGTATGCTCTGGTGAATGATAACGATTTTTTTTTGTTTAGTTGAAGTTAAATTTTGTTTCACAAAAAACACATGACCGCATAATCACCCTGTTATCACTCGCATAATTCACTATGGTATTTGCGGGATCGAATTATTTTTAATTGAATGAAATGTATATTTACATTAAGTGTGCGGTTCTTGAGATAACATTAGAAACGACAATTTTGTTAAATTCTCATTATTACTAGAAATAACTGGAAATCGCCAATAACACCAAGCCAGCATTTAAAAGTTATTTTTTTAAACAATAAATTTAATGAGTCTTTTTTAATAATTTTTATGACTCGAAAAAAAATCTGTGTATATTATGGGGATGGGGACTCGAAAGTAACGCTGAAATGTTCGCAATATATCGAGCCCAATTTGCAAAAATAACGTAAAAAATACCGCCAAAAAGCAACTTTTTCAGTAGAGGGTTTTTGCCCGAAGTTAGCTTTTCTTTCTGGCTAGTCTTTAGAAATCATTTGTTTGGAGAAGTAACCATTCGCTAACCCCTCTGTATATAGCTCTAACTAAAATAGCGAGATATGTAGATAAAGAATGCTTTACAACTTATACAACGCACATTATATTAATACTAACAAGAAAGGAAAGCTAACTTCGGGCGGAGCCGAAGTGTATATACCCTTGCAGTTAAAAGCGGATATATATCGCAAACATCGGATATAGTTGGCCGCTCCTTATGGGAATATGAATATATAATCCAATTTATTACAATACAAAATCTAAAAAAAGTCGCAAACTTCTATCTTCAAACATACCAAAGTTGGTATTTCTACCAAATACCATCTCCGATCGTTCAGTTATATGGCAGCTATAGGATATAGTCGGCCGATCGTTATGAAATTTGGTAGGTCGGATAAACTGACCAAAAATATAATCTGTACCAAGTTCCAGCTTTCTATCTTCAAAAACACGAAAGTTGGGTCATTTCCGATCGTTCAGTTATATGGCAGCTATAAGATATAGTAGGCCGATCCTTATGAAATTTGGCATGTCGTAATGTTTTGCCAAACATAGCGCTCGTGTCAAATTTGAACTCTCTAACTTTGAAAACACTAAAGTTATACCATTTCCGATCAATCAGTTATATGGCAGCTATAGGATATAGTCGGCCGATCCCGGCCGTTCCGATTTATATACTGCGTGCAAAGGAAAGAAGGGTGTGTGCAAAGTTTCAAGACGATAGCTTTAAAACTGAGAGACTAGTTCGCGTAGAAACAGACAGACGGACAGACAGACGGACAGACAGACGGACAGACAGACGGACAGACGGACATGCTCATATCAACTCAGGAGGTGATCCTGACCAAGAATATATATACTTTATGGGGTCGGAGATGTCTCCTTCACTGCGTTGCGCACTTTTGGACAAAATTATAATACCCTCTGCAAGGGTATAAAAATGTATAAAAGTATTAATTTCAAGTCCTTAGCCTAGAGCGCTGACAGAAACGCATTTTTATGGAATTCCCTGCAAAAAACAATAACAACCACTTTAACCAGAGATATTCTGGGTGATGAAGAATATGTACTGTGGTTGTTCTGAAAGTTTGTGAGAGGTGAAACTTTATTTCTTAGTTTTATTCTTAGAAACTAGGAATCTTTTTTTATTTTTTTTACTCTTCTATTTAAATTTTTTGTATTTTTCTTTGTTTATTATTTAAATTTATTATTCAATTTTTACTACAATACATTGCTTAGATACAGAGTGCAAAAGTGACGAATGGTGAGTACACATTTTACATTACATGATACGAAAACATGTCAAATTCAATAGGTGGCGACATCTTGTGGTGCGGTTTTTTATGGGTGGTGAAAAATGTTAATGGCAGCGATCTCGTGATCTAAATTATCTGGTTGAGTGCATCGAAATTAGATTTAGATCTACAATAAGATTAATTAAATTTGAATTTAGTTTAATTAGTAATTTAGTCTCTGTTCAATAAAATCCTGTTTATTCAGAATTTTATAATTTGAGAAGTATTAGAAAGCAGTTGAAAAATGAAGTAAGGAAATTTGTTAGATCTGGTATGTTCTGTTATAATGTTTATAAAAGTAATCAGTAATAAAAGTAAAAGTATTCAAAATAAAATTTTTAGTAATTGTTATTCAGAACCGCCTTCTGGACTGACTGGAAAAAAAGTAAAATCAATCAACGGAAGATTTTTCTCCTAAGATCAGATGCTTGTTCCTTTAATAAAGTGGGAAAAAAAACTCAGATAGAGCGGCTTCTGGTATGATTTTATCTCAAAAATGTGCCAACGGACGGCCTTGACACATTATAAAATCTAGAGGTAAGAAACAAATTGGCAAAAGTGTATTGACACGCCTATCAGCTATAAGTGGTGATAAGAGCTCTTCAACAACCTTGAAAATTGCCATAAAAAGCACCTGCAGCATCATCAGGGAGAGACAATCGACTACGAAGATGGCGTTTAGACGACAAACTGTGTTTTGCCTGATGATCCTGACCTGCTGGCCAATCGTCGGCCGAGCGGACGAGTTTCCACAATGTGCCAATGCCGATCCTGACAGTTTTGTGATGACCATTGACGACTGTGCCGCCTACATTTACTGCAATGGAGAGGATTCCTTCCGGGACAGTTGTCCGGAGGAGACGTATTTTGACGACAAGACTCAGGAGTGCGTCTTTGACGACGCCGGAGTGTGTCTTAAGGGATTGGAGACCGAAGAGTCTGGGGAAGTGCATCAGCCAGAAGCAGAGGTGGTAGAACAGCCCGAAACAGAAGAAGTCGTCGAGCCTTCCACGACATCTGTGCCCACAACCGCCCAAGTAATAAATGTTCCCACAACCGCTGCCCCGCTCCCTTCCCGTCCAGCTGCAACTCGTCCCAATTGCGACTCCTCCAGGGATTCCGTCCACCCTCATCCCCAGCGCTGCGAGTACTTCTACCGGTGCGTGGCGGGCTTCCTAACCATAGTCCGGTGTCCCTACGACTACGCCTGGGATTCGCCCACGGACAAGTGCCGGCCAAAGGCACAGGCCAGTTGCTATAGTTTGTAGTTCTTGATTCTAGAAATATGCAAGTGCATATGTAGTATGTGGGGTTGACCCGGGTGGGATCTCTGGGCTGTGGTATTCGCAGCCTCCAAGCAGCGGCACTGCTAACCCAAATAGAGGCGCACACAAATGACAATAATAAATAAGTATTTGTGGCATTTTAATGAATTGAAAAGTGCATAATGAAGGTGCTGGGTGCCCGAATGGACCCCGTCCTGCCCCACGGCGGCAGGCTCCATATGGCGGTTCCATTTGTATTTGTCAGGCATAATTCAAATCCAAGGCGCAGGTACAAATTTATTTTCGGCACACACTTTCGAGTGGCACCGGCAGCGGCGGCGGCGGCGGAGGCTGTCGCCTCTTCCACATTTTATTGCAAATTAATAATGCACACCAGGCAGGCACACACAGAGCCACAAATGCGGTGTTGGCCATGTCAATTGTGTCTCGGGCAGTTCCTGATGCCCTGCTGATGAGTGGCCACCAACAAATGTTTTGATTAACTGGCTGCGGGGCGGCCAATTAATTCGGCCGAAAGTCGGGACGCGAAGTACAAAACTGGCGAGATTGCTCTTCTCGTGGCTGCCTGCTCATTAATTAAAGAACATGGAATTGGGCGACAAATGTCGGCGAGAAGCTGCGAGAGCCAAATTCAAATTCGAATCGGCTAAACAAATGGCAGCATACAGCAATACCACCAGCAACAGCAGCAGAAACAGCAATAGCAATAGCAACAACAGGAGCACGAGATAGAGGAAAATTGTCAAGAGATGGACATTCGAAAAATAGAAAATCTCCAACTAAACCGAAAGAATTGAAACATTTTCGGATTTTTTCATTTCAGATGCGAGCAGCAAACGGTTAACAAAGGTGCGCGCTCGACCCGCCTTTAGAAATCTTTAGATCTTGAGGTCTTGAAACGGAAAATTCGTAACGGGCGTGTTCACATTTCACCAGGGGAATCGTCACTAACCCAATACATACACACACGGGGCCAAAAAACAAAACCAAGATGCAAAGAAAAAACAAGAATGTGAAGGATGCTTTGAGAGAGACCCAAGTGAAAACAGAGCTAAGTGAATGCGTTGTCGAGTAAATTGTGTAATGCCGATCGAGAAGTGTGCGCAGGAGTGGTAGGACTACCGCCGAAGTCAATCCAAATCCGTATCCGAAATAGCCGCGCCTCATAAAAGCACTACATAAAACATAAGTTGGAGGAACGGCAATTTGATGGCCGGCACGGGCATTCTATTAATATTGAAGAAGCGGATAAACATCCTCGGCCGTAAGGGTTAGCCCCAGCCTCTAGCCTCTATAATTAGACTCCCTGGGACGGTGCTGGGCCACTGGATTATGCGTGAATCACAGCCACATATACGTACTGGTCAGGCGGATGATATTCCGATTCTAATTCAAATTCAACAACAAACGGTGACAATTTATGGCGGCAGCGTTTCATGGAACAAATGAAAGTTGAACAACAAGAAGATGAGCCGAGAAGGCTTAGGAATCAAATGTTTTCGGTGGGCTGGTGGCCCGTGGAGGGAGCAGTTTATGGCCGATGATGAGGCCCCGGACCAAAGAGGCGTATGAGTGATTATGTGTGGAATATTACGCATCAAATGAGTGGCCACGAAAGCGATTGCAAAGTGCTATGGAATGGATTGTTGGGTCGACAAGAGCCAGGCACTTGGACAACAAATCAAAATAGACAGCCTGGCGAGAGCGTTTAGCACAGATCTTTATTTTTTGGATGGCTATTTAAAACGCGGCAGCAACAGCAACTACAAAAACAACAACAGCTACAGCTATGCAAGAAGAAGAAAGGCTGAAAAACTAATTTCGGAAAATCAAGTAAAAACTAAACGAAATACCAAAGAGTTACGGAAAAGAAGGCTGCCTGCCTGACTGTCACGACACTTTCTTGTGTGAACGAGCGCCAAAAAGGCCGCGCCGCCGCCACCACAGCCACCCCCTCCTGGCCCTCTTTCCTCCATCCCCATGTGTCCATCCCATCCAATACCCAGCATCCATTGTACCCCATCAGCCGACCTCCACCATCCCATCCATCGTCTCTCAATAGAGAAATGCTTAGATGCGATTTCTGCCGCAGTGCATGCATAATGGAATGAAGAAAATTCCGTCCGTCTGAAGCGGCAGCGACTGCGGCAGCACAGGCAATACAAACAACAATCACACGCTGGGCTAGCCTGGCTGCTTGGTGCCTTGGGCATCAGAAAAAAACACGGAGACGGACACGGACACGGACACCAATACGGTCACAACCACGGACACGGACTCGGACTCGGACTTGTCACACTGCTGTTTGTTGGTTTGCATTCGGTTGCCTTGGCTGGGTCCGCTTGTAGTTGGGGGGCCTCCAATGGGCGGCAGTGCAGCATAGACTGAGAAAGCTCAGCAGCGACTCTTGGTCTGGCGTCTTAAAAATAGCCCTCGGACAAAAGTGTGATGATTGTGGCCACCGCCTCCCGGCCGCGCACTATAAGATGCGAACAATGGAAATTGCCAAATTTATAGTGCACCCAGAAACCCACAGCAGCCAAGGAGAACTTATTTTATTTAAATGAATTTAATTTAATTGCCAGCCAGAGCGCACACATCGCTCTGGCCGCCTGCACCCGCTCGGTGGTGTGCGTCTTAGCCGCAATCTAGATTCGTCTGGGATGTCCGAGCTGCCCGACTGCTGGGCGAATGTTGACTTGGCTAACGAATCGCTGACAGGCAGCGCTGTCCAAGGAATGCTCCCCGGCACCTAGTCGAAGGCCCGCCGGGGAAGGCCATCTGTCCCCTGGGAGATGAGGGGCCCCCGATCCACCCCGGCGTATGAGTAATAACTACATGGATAGCTGGCAATAATACGTATACGCCCCGATGGGCGCAACCGTCGAAGAGCTTTAATCGAAGAGGCGAGGAGCGAAGCGGGACGAAAAGTGTGTTCGCGAGTGACAAAACACCCAACAAATAAACAAACCCAAGCGCAAACAAACAAATTATGATGAACCAAAACAAAACCGAGTGGGCTCTCGCGAAAGATTCTGTTTACCTCCCTGACATCCCCAAGACACAAATGAAAACATTGCCGCCGGCGCACTAATTGAACTTCCCGTCTTTTGCAGCTGGTCCATGCGATCCAACCCAGATGAACGATGGAACATGTAAATAGCACCAATACCAGACAGCCGCACCAGCCCCTGCAGCCAAGTCAGACCAATCAGCTGAACCAGCTCAGTCAGTTCGAGCAGCTGCAGCACAATGAGAGCCAGCAGCAGTTCTGCCTTCGGTGGCACAATCATCAGGTGAGCACCACCCCCAGAGATAATCTGCCCCCGACCGGCGGTGTTGTCAGAGAGCCGATTTCGGGGGCTAGCGACTAGGGGCCTGGCCTCGTCATCGAACTGGACTGGTCACCGTCCACTGAAGCAAGCGAGCCAGCGAAATGTCGCCCGTCTATATATAGGATCCATCTATCTAAACACATCCAGGCATACGTATTACGAACAGATTCACACATAGTTTTCCGCACTTTCATATAGTGACACTTTTCGCTTCGATGTTTACTACGAAGGCTGCCCAAAGGGTGGGGCAGTGGCGGCCGGGGTGGGGGCTGTCCAAAATAGCGAAATTTCGGTGGACACCTAGGTTCTCCCAGAGGCAGAGCCGGGGGTCTGTGGTAATAATTGAAAAAGTCATGCATTTGCCAAATCCAAAGAATTTCCACTGAGAGTAAGTACCAAAGTTGGCGAGCAGCTGCATCCAAACCCAGTGCTTCTCCTTTCCCGGGAAAGTGTATTTTTACGATTGGGTGACCCACTTTCAATCGCTTCTCTTCTCTCTGGCGATCCCTTCCAGGCTAGCCTTCTGAGCACCCTCCCGGTGCTGTTGGACCAGTCCCATCTGACGGACGTCACCATTTCCGCGGAGGGGCGCCAACTACGGGCTCACCGCGTCGTCCTGAGCGCCTGCAGCAGCTTCTTCATGGAGATCTTCCGGGCCCTGGAGGCGAGCAATCACCCAGTCATCATCATCCCTGGAGCCAGCTTCGGCGCCATTGCCGCCCTGCTCACGTTCATGTACTCCGGAGAGGTCAACGTGTACGAGGAGCAGATTCCCACGCTGCTCAATCTGGCGGAGACTCTGGGCATCAAGGGACTGGCCGATGTCCAGAATAACAATGTGAGTTTCGGGAATTGGCAATTATTGTAAAGTTGAACCGAAGTTAAAATTAATAGGATATAAGGGTATAATTATACCTCTATGATAAACATGATTTGCATAGTCTAAAAATTGACTCCTAGGAGTCTAATATTAAATCTTGGTAGTCCAACTTTAATATGTAATAGCTGTTTTAAATTTTAATTTAAAATTTAAAACTTTAAAAGGTACAAAATTTTGTTGAACATTTTTCACATTGATTTCCCTTATTTTAGAAGTGGGTAAATTGGGAGAAGTGGTAGATTAGGATTTTAGAAGTGGTGGAAGTTAGGAAAATTTAATAAAATTCTTTAAATTAGTTATTTTACATTTTATTTTTCTCAAAATGACTATAAACTTTACTTTAATTTTGAGTTGAAAGAAATTTATCGTCTAATTTTATACAGAAACCCTTTAAAATACAACTAAAAAGATTCGTTCAAGCACTATATTTATGAGTTAAAATATATATATATATATACATATATCATTCAAATCTACTTACCCTTTTTCGACTAATCTCGGCTACCGAATCGAAAAACAAAATTTTGGGAAACCAATTTTTTCTTGATTCAATTGCTTGAACTTGATGTAATTTTTTGAGTATAATTATAAAATAATATATCATGAATAATTAATTTATTCGCATACAATAAATTTTACTTATTTATACATAGTTTGCAATACTATTTTAGAGATGATTCATCCTAGAAATATCAAATGTAATTTGTTAACTTTCAAATCTGGTTTAATTAGCTGCCGAAGACGTCGAGGCCCGGAGTCTCATCCTACATGGAATCTTCGAACGCGAAATCTTCAGAGTTCGAGCGTCCCAGCACGCCCTCACCGGCGGCCACGCCCACACCCACCCCATCTCACACCCCCACCCCAAGTATGGCCCTTCCCCTCCCCCAGCTCCCGAGTCCTGCGCTGAGCACGCCTCTGCTGGCCAACAAGCTGGGATCGGTAGGTGCGGCGGGCATGGGCAATTCTCCCCTTGAGAACCTCTTCAAGTCGCTGCAGTTCTACCCCAGCCTGCTGCCGCAGCCCCTAAACTTTTCCCAGACGGCGCTGAATAAGACCACCGAGCTGCTGGCCAAGTACCAACAGCAGTGCCAGCTGTACCAGAGCGGAATCCAGGATGACGACGTGGACTGTTTTGGAGCGAAGCGACTCAAAGGAAGCAGTCCTCCCAAGGAGCTGCGCCGACTGGACAAGACCCCTGGAAAAGGGCCCAAGACAGCGGGCACCAACAGCACTAGCAAGTCGCCTTCCGACTGCGCCAATCCCCACCCCATAGTGGCCACCTCACCAGTCACCCTGGCACCGCCAGCCATGGCACACTTCTCACCCCAGCTGCCGGTTGTGAAGTGCTCTTCGGCCAGTTACCCCACCTCCTTGACCGGCGGCCACCTGTACAGCAGCAAGCCGCCCCTCTACAGCGCCGCCGTCACGCCCACGCCGTCCCAACAGGCGTCCCAGATGCACCATCCTCCGGGAACTCCAGCCACGCCCTACATATCACCGGAGGACCACGCCAAGCTGCAACTCCACATCGAGCAGTATCAGCGGGAGGCGGCTGCCGCGGCGGCAGCAGCGGCCGCTGGCGGAATGGCGTTGGTCAGCGCCAAGTCAGAGCCGAATCTGCTCTCGCTCAGCGCCGACCGCGACAAGCCGCTACCGCCCGCCAACATCAAGCCGCCCTCCAACTCGAAGCTCTACGCCACGTGCTTCATCTGCCACAAGCAGCTGAGCAACCAATACAACCTTCGCGTCCACCTGGAGACCCATCAGAATGTACGGTGCGTATTTTCTGCCGCTGGCTAGGTCGAATTTGGGACCTTTTTTTAATAATACTCTATACTCTATAAAGAGGTCCAAAATATACTTATAGTTAATGCATAATTAAAACAAAAAAGGAAAGGAAGTTTGAGCCGATCCGAAGCCTAATTACCCAGAAAGGGTTAATGGAGGTTTCGATGTAAACTATTAAAAGTAATGTAAATATGGGATATAGCTGACTGATCATTATAAAATATCAGCCCATTTTCGTATAATATGAATTCTAAAACAATAACAAATATTGGTTCTAAAACACAATGCAAGTTATGGAATTCCCGATCGTTTAACTATAAATTAAAATTTGTGTAGATCGGATCAGTTTGCAAAGGAAATATATACTTTATAGATTATAAATCTGCGTTGAACACGAATTATAATATCACAAACAATATAATATCACAAACAAATATCACAAACAATATCACCACAAATTATAATATCCTCTGGAAGCATTTTAAAACTAAAATATATTTTTTAGTTGTGGGCTACTTAATGTTCATAGCTATAGTCTACATTTTAGAAATTCTTAGAAATGATTGAAACATCATTCTAACATTCATCCTTCTAAAAACGTTTATGTTTTTAGAAAGGAATCCATCAAGGAGTAGAAACTTAAGTTCCCAAGATAAAAATATATAAATTAATCTGAACTGCCCAGTGCTTTAGTCACCTCAATTTGGGGCATAATTAATTTAATTTACCACTAATTTATGTTTGGAAAAATCTGGTGTAGAAATGCAGGAAACTGAAGACTTTTCGCTTTCTCCTCCAGGTACGCTTGCAACGTCTGCTCCCACGTGTCCCGCAGCAAGGACGCCCTGCGGAAGCACGTCAGCTATCGGCACCCGGGAGCGCCGTCGCCGTGCGAGAACGAGGCAAGGCGGAAGCGCGTCTCAAAGCCGGCAGGAGCGACGCCCACGGTCACGGCCCTACCGATGCCCAGCCACACAATGACCAGCGGAGGGTCGGGCGGCGCAGGGACGAATGCGGCGACTACTGGTCAGGAGGGAGGCAATCCGTATCTCTTCCTGCCCAACCAGTTTCAGATGGCTGCAGCTGCAGCTGCTGTGGCGGTGTCCGAATCATCGCCAGCCTCCGGAGCGTCGCTGGACCTGGGCCACGAGGCGCCACTGGACATCAAGGTAGAGCGGGAGCCGCCTCCCGCCAGCAATGGGGCGTCGGCCGGCATTGAGACCCCGGCTGCGACCACCTAAGGGAAATATGTTTAAATTTGAATTTTTGAATTCACCGCACTCACACGCACACAGATACAATGAACACGTCCGCCCACACATACATAAGTGAAAGCATTGGCGTTGGGAACCCACAAGGCAGCTCCTTCTGCAACGCGACCGCAGGACCAGAACCCATGAAGCCTTTCGATGTCCGCGTTCTGCAAGGCAAGGCTTCAGTTCTAGTGTCAGGCTTCGGCCTGTTTTCAGAGCCCGTGGCATCCAGCGCCAATGGCAACCTCCTAGCCCCACCGAAACCAACGTCTTAGACCCGGCTGTGATAATTAGCGCAATTCGTTTCTCGCCTTCTACACACATACACTCGTGCGAACGCCTTCTAAGCTATCTTAATCTATGTATCTACTTCTAGCACAAATTTAAGTTCTTACTTCACATAGCCGATGCTTGCCCGGAGGCCGAGCCGACTGCCCAGCAACCTCCGAGGCTCTCCATCTGCAAGCAGCAACTACCTTCCGCTTTATCACACGCATAAACCCTCACATTCTAGTAAATTAAGAAAAGTTTTTATAAATATTGTAATTATACACCAGAACACACGCACACACTTGCACACAAAAAGACAGGGTGAAGACCTAAAAGCCAAAACATTTTAAATGGAATAAACTGTTAAGAAGCCAGAGGCGTGCTTTCTTTTGGGCCGGCAGCAATGACGAAACAGGAGGACTTATGCCAAAACTAATATATTTCACTTCATAATACAATAATTTACGTACGCGGGCGTACCTTGCAAAAGTTGGGTTTTCGTATTTAGTTCTTAGCTCGAGTAGTAGAAAAAATAATTGCGAAAACGCAGTAGCAAATGATAGTGGGCTAAGGATATTGGTATCCATTGCATGATGATTAGTAAACACTTTGGGCTTAAATGTAAAGACATGACATGACGGGCGGGACTAAAGACATAAATAGGTAATGTAAACTCTTGCACTTAAATGAATTGAAGCCAGGGGGCTGCTGGCTGCTCCCCTGGATAAGTATAAAACGTTTGTCGCGGCGCCGACTCTTAGATAGTTTCCACGTGCCACACCTTGGTGTTGCAGTCCTGGCCAGTTGAGATCACAGTGTTGTTGTCCAGCCAGACCAGTCGAGTGATTTGCGACTGCGGGTGCGCATCTTAAAGAGAAGAAAAAGATAATAGGATTAGAATATATTTAAATCCAATAAGATTATGCTATAATTAAATCCAATATCTTATAGTCTAGTGCTGTTTTTCTAAAATTTTTAGACATGTATATAAAAATATAAATAATTCAAGTTGAGTTATTAAAGCTCTGATAAAGTGGAAGCTTTGACAATAAATTCGAATAAACCAATAAAACCCAGTCAATCAAACACATCACATAGTGACTAATCCCTATTTCAGCGGTTATGCATAACTTATAAAATATACAAGCGATTTACTCACTCTTTATGATAGTATGCTTGGCCGGATTGGCCACAGACCAAATAATGATTGTAGTGTCCAGCGATCCACTAGCCACCAGCAACGAGTTTGGCGACCAGGCCACGGTGTTTACGCGAGCACTGTGGAAGCCCCACTCCTTGTTGTGTGCAGGCTGAAAAGGTGGACAAGCTCATTAGGTTACGGAATTCAGCTCTATCGCTGCTATCCTACCTTGTACTCCTCCACAGAGTAGAGCACGACCTTGCGATGGGCGTCACAAGCCACCAGATACTTTTGATCCGGTGAGTAGGAAACATCAGTCACTGCACCCAGGTGATCCAGCTCAACCTTAGGCTCCAGGACACCGGCCTTGAGCGAGTAGATATGCAGTTTTTGGTCGTCGCCTCCGACAGCGACATCGTGGGTGTCGGCGTTGACAGCGATTGAACTGGCCTCGTACTTGATTGGGAGCGAGAATATCTTTTTCTGATCCTGCACAAGGGTCAGCTCCTTGATACAGGCCAGGGCGATTATGTTCTCGCTGCGCAAGATGGCCAGACCGCGAGGCTGACAGTTGAGCTTGACCACGTAGTCGGTGTAGACATTGCCCTCCACGCTGAACTGGCGCAGACTGTCATCAATGCCACAGGTGTAGACGAAGTCGCCCCAGGCGGCAATTCCATTGATCTGGTTTCCATGTCCGGTGCCAGTGATACGATCGTTCGTACCGTTGCCAGAGTTCCAGTTGGTCACTACGCCGTCGTGGCTGCCAGTGTAGATGGTGCTGCGGTCATCACTCAGGCCCAGCACAGTTATTGGCTTGTTGTGTCCCTTGACCACGCGCAAAGGCTTGCTGGGGTCGGCAACGTTGAGGTAGGTTATCACACCCGACAGCGACACAGTGATAAGGTGGTCTCCCTGCCACAGGCAGGACACCTGCTGATCGTCCACAGTGGCTCCCATTACGAACTCAGAAACAAGTTCACGCGACTCCACCTGCCACAAGCGACATGTCTTATCGCCGGAGCAGGTCAGCAGCTGGGTACTGTCTGGCTTCCAGGCCAAGGCATAGACGCCACCCTTATGAGCTGGCGACCCAAATTCGCCCACCAACTCGGAGCTCACGCCGTCATAAAGGAAGACCTTCCCATCAAAGCCAGCCGAGGCGAAGAACTTGCCGTCTGGAGAGTATCGTACAGCCTGGACGAATCGCGAGTGCTCCTGCTTGGTCATCTTGAACTTGAATGGAGGTCCTTCGAAAACAGCAGTCGTGTTGTCCTCGCTGCCTGTGAAGCGTATATAAAAATGAGTATGAGCTACCGCACAGATGACCAGAACGCCAGGATGGCCTCTGGAATACTTACCAGTCACGATGCGGAATGGCCTGGCTGGCCGGAAATCGGCAGAGTTGATCGACTTTGACTGTCCGCTGATCTCGCCGACGGAAGTACCAGTTTCAGACATGAAGACATGACCAAACCGCTCTCGTCCCTCGCCCACGGCCACGATACGTTGGTTGTCCGGCGACCAACTGATGTCCTTGATGGGTCCTGCAATCGGCTGGAACTCATTCTTGAGAAGGTGCTCCTTGTTTACCGTGTCCCAGATGCGAATCTTGCCCGAGGCGTCTATGGATGAGGAGAGCCGGTTAATAAAATTCTGATTCGATCGAGCCGAAGCACCAGATAAGATAAAAAAACCTCCTAATATGGAAATGCTAGCAGCAGGCAGTGCTGTGACTCATGGTGGTCACGATTTGCTGTGGTACGGCTTCTGCATGCTCCACTGCGTGCCGAAGACGCGAAGTGTGAAATTGTAGTGCAAAACTTACCACCAGATGCAATGTAGAATCCGCTGGGCGAGTACTTGGCCACGTTGACTGCACATGAGTGTTCCGTGTACACATCGGCGATGGCTGGATTCTTTGGGGCGGAAAACAAGGGGGTTAGTCTAAAAAACACTCTTACAAGCAGGTTTGATTCCTGCGACAGCACATTCTCTGCTCGAATCGCCCAGCGATCATCATCCATAAATGATGATGCGTGGGCAGCAAACAGGCACAAGATATTTCTCAGACCGGCCGAGTGTGTGTGAGTGTTTGGCCGGTCGGCCTGTGGAATGGCTATTTAAAAATAAATATAGAACAGCTGCCAGCAGCCAGAGGAAAAACAACACGTACACACACACGGTCGGAAGGAAAAACACTAGAAACTGCAACTGTCCAAAAATAAAACGCCATTTGGAGCGGCCACAGATTATGGCAGGAGCTGCACAATATCAGCTTACCTCGATGTTCCGGATGATCACGGAGTTTCCATTCGTGTAGAGGAAGTTCTTGCCCTTGGGATCGGCACCCAGCACAATGGGTTGGCCCCGTTGGGTGCGCGGCAGCGTTGCGTAGATATTTTCTGCAAAGGGAGCCGCCACAGACGGCGATTAGACAAAGAGCCAACTGCCGATAACGCAAGGAGTCGTGGAAGCAAAAAATGGGTGCGGCTTGGCCCATTCTCTTACGGGAGTGGGGTCCCTGCCCCCACCAACGCGCCGAGCACCGGCTGCCCATTTATGGGCATAATCTCGGCGCTTCCGGCGGTGGTTTAAGCTTTTACCGTTTTCGCTTGTTGACTCATCCCCTTCATTTCTTTTCTTCTTTTTTCTCTTCACTGCAGTCTATGGGAGTCTATACACCATGCCGGCAACTATTCTTGCATGCCAACTCACTGTTTTCGTAGGCCGGGGGCTGAGGTTGCGCCATTGCTTGTGATCCGCTCTTGTGTGCTGGAGATTTTTGAATGTTATTAATAAATGCGAATTTTCGCCGGGAAATGGAAATACAGAGTTCAAGGCGCAGTGCTGCCAGACTGTGCTGCCAACTCAGCTTTTTTCTCGTAAAACTTTATAGTTAAAAAGGCTCGCTGTTTTTATAGCGATTTCATACAATAATTGGTCCGATGTCAAAAAGAGTCAAAGTTGCCGAAAATTTAAACGATTTAATTTAAAATAGAATTTAATATGGAACCATAATGCAGTATTATTTTTCAACTTAAACCTTGTTTCTATTAAAATACTATCTATTTTTTGGATAGTTATTGTGTGGCTAAATTATAGCAATTGTTGGCAGCCCTGTTGTTATAATTTAGTGTTGCCACATATTTGTATCTTTAAACTGTTCCCATAAAGGTTTGTACCTTTGTGGGACTCACCACACCTGCAAGATCACAAAAATTCGACTTCTGCTTTTTTTCGAAAAATGGTTGGGAGTTAAACAATTTTTATATAAAAACAAGTGGTTTTAAAAGGCAGTAACTTCTGCCATTGAATATTTCAGTTTTTTAGGAACCATTCGAACGTGCAACCATTCATTAAATTTATTCTCTTTCCTTAACGCGTGAAACTCAATTTGGTCACACTGACTCGGTTTTTGTTTACATTTTTGTGTTTGTTTACATTTTGCTTCTCAAGAGTTGTCCGATATGCTGCAACCACTCCCGGCACATGCTACGGTAGAGAATCCCCGATATGGCCAGCTCGTCATCGGCCCTCCTGGTTCGGGAAAAACCACTTACTGCGGGGAGGCCCTTAAGTTCTACCGCGAACTGGGTAGGCAAGTTGGCGTCGTGAATCTGGACCCGGCAAACGAAAATATGGCTTACGAGCCGGTGCTTAACGTAATGGAACTAATAACCGTAGAGGACTGCATGGAACACCTGCAGCTGGGACCGAACGGAGCACTCATGCACTGCGCCGAGTTTCTGGCAGAGCACCTGGAGGACTGGTTACTTCCAGCACTACGCAAACTGAGCGCCAGTTACAATTACTTTTTGTTTGATTGCCCCGGCCAGATCGAGCTGTACACACATCACAGAGCTATGGCCCAAGTGTTCGAGCGTCTGGAGCGGGAGCGGTATAATCTGGTCACCGTGAACCTGATTGATTCACACTATTGCTCAGAGCCGGCTAAATTTATAGCCACGCTGCTTATGGCCCTAAACACAATGCTGCGCATGAGCTTGCCGCACGTGAACGTTCTGTCTAAAGCTGACACGCTGCGTAAGCATGAGGCTAAGCTGCACTTCAACGTGGACTACTACACGGATGTGCTGGACATTAAATACTTGTTGGAGAAGTTGGACGACGATCCCAAGATGCGAAAATTTCAAAAGCTGAACGAGGCAATTTGTTCTATGGTGGAGGACTACGCTCTGGTGTCTTTCCAGCTATTGGACGTATTCAGCACACATAGCATGCTCCGTCTTCGGAACCACATCGACAAGGCGAATGGATATATCTACAAAGCGGGCGAGGAACAGACTGTAAACTCGCTCATGGCTTGTGCGGTTGGGGCGGAGGCAGAAGCCATACGCCAGCAGAACGACGTCCAGCCCTATGTTGAGTAAAACTAGGAAGCTTTAAAACTATTTCCATGAATTGGAAAATTAGGGAAGAACTAAACATTTCAATAGGAGGAAGTCGACTTCTCGTAAGTCGATTCTATTTATTAATAAAAATTATAAAAAAATGTTAAGACTCCGTAGAACTTTCCTTAAAATCTGTCCAACAACTGAAAAGTCTTATTTTTATAATTTTATTTTGTTTCATTTGCCGTAATTGTAATGACTATGGGAAAGAGAAAGTACAGAGCTCATTTGAAATTTGAAGCTCACATATTTTCTCAAAGTGCGAGTTTTTAATAGCAACACCCTTAAAATTTATAAACGAAATTTTTGGAAAAATGTCCTTATGCTCGAAGATTCCAATAAGAGCACGTTGAATTTGGGGCAAGCTGGAGTTTAACGATCGAATTCATGTTAAGTTTGCTGTGTTGGAAACTCGGATTAGATGACATTCTCGTACATCTTCGGATTACGCTGAATATTCTCCTCCATGACCTTCTTGTGCATATTCTCCCAGTGTTCCAGCCTAGCCAATACATCGGGTAGAACCTCGCGGATTTTCAGGCGGCTGAACTCGGGCCCGTCTCGCAAGTCCACGTTCGTCCTAAAGTTGTAGTTCGGAGTGTAGCCGTTAATCTTGAGGAAATGGTCGAAGTAGAAGGGCACTATTTGCTCCTGCATGTTGTCCACTGTCAGCAGGGATGTGTGGGTCACTTGGTCCCCGGTGTAGCCATCCTCCCTGAAAGCGCGAACGAAGTTCTTCGTATGCTCGGATATAACAAAAACCTCCTTCTCCTCCGGAACAACCCGTTTCTTGAGAAATAGCCTGGGCAGGCGACCCTCGCGCTTCGGCTTCTTGTAGGGCGGTTCTAAGTTGCGGCGTACCTTTTTCATCTCCATGTCGATGCGTCGCTCCACTTGATAAGCTTGGAACGAGAGCTTCTCCCGGTAGCGCCGACGTTTTCGCAGGGTCGCTTCCACAGCGCGGACCTTTTCAATATCCATGTGCTCAAATTTGGACAGTATCTCCATGACCACATCGCTGATGGCGGCCACCATATCGGCGGTACTGGGAAGCACGTCACTGGTTCCGCGCACGGAGTCTGGGACCACTCGGCGCCAGACTTCGGCAAGCACTGCACGGTGCTTGTTGAAGTCCTCGTCTGCGATGGTCTCTCTGATGGGCTCCCCGAGATACTGATGCACTTTCTGCTCCATTTCCCAGGCGCGGTCCTCCATAAAGAACTTCTTCGCCGACTTGCGGGCCACGTATTCCTGTTTTTCCTTGAGGTGTTTGGAGCACCAATCGTTGAAAGTTTCCAGGCGTCCTTGAAGCTCGGTGTGGATGGAGAGGGTAAAGTGCATCTCCAACAGCAGCATGAAAGTTTTGTTCTTTAGGTTCTCCACACCCTGCAGGAAGGACTCTGCATCCGGGAACACCTGCAGAATTGGATGAACCTTCTGCATGTACACATCGTAATAAAAGGCGCGGATGGCCCAAGCATCGTCCTTGTCGCGCACGCGAATGTTGACGATGGCGCGCTTGGCAATGGAGACATCGTAAGGCTCCAGCTCCAGCTCTTCCTCGGCACCGTCCTCATGCCCCTCGGGCTCCTGCTCCTCGGATGCCTCGGCCTCCGAGCTATTGGTGCGCTTCGACTTCGGAACAAGGTGTATCCAGTCGTGTTCAGCACGCCAGTCCTGGTCTCCCATTAGGTAATGGAAGTTCTGGAGCATGATGCAACGGATCCAGTGACCCTCAATAAACACTATGTCCATGTTGAGCATCATCAGCTCCCGCTCCAGCTCCCGGTACTCCTGCTTCAGCTTGTCGGTGGTTTCGTAGTAGGACTTCACCTGATACACCATCGTCATGGCGGCGTTGTACTCCTTCTTCTTCCACTTGGCGAACAGCGCCTCATACAGGTTCTTTGTGTTCTTCATGTTGACCCAGTGACGCTCGTTCATGCGGTCGTAGATTTTGGTGCGCACCATCTGTCCCTGGATAAGCAGGGACTCATACTTCAGGCGCATGGCGTCCTTGAGCAGCTGAATGCTGGTTTTGAACTTGAACGACTTGATGGTGGCGCGGCTCTTCAGCTCCTCAATGTAGTTTTCATCGAGGTCAGTGATCACAGCCCCATAATACTTGCGGTTGCCCGGACCCAACAGCGTCTTACGCACGTCGGGCACGGCCACCTCGAGGCGCAGACGCAGACTGTTTCGTAACCGCGTACTGAAGGTGAAAAAAGTGTCCTTGGGTCCCAGCATGTCGGCCTGCTCCTTGTGCTGGCCCGAAAAGGGCAGCATGCGGTAGGGATCTTCGTCCTCGGCCGATACGTCGATCACCGCAGCATGGAAGCGGGCCCGTCGCATTTCCTCAAACGGCACCAAAGGCTTTCTTATGTAGTCCAGGGGCAGCTTAGTCTTGCCCTCGATTACCATATAGCTGCCACTATCGTTTGACAGATCCGTGCAGTCCGAGCTGGTCAAAGAGCTCAAGCAGTTCTCGATGCTCTTCAGATCCTCTTCGAGGTCTTGCACCACAGCGCGGCGATCCACCAGAAGGCGCTCCTCCCCCGGTTCTATGTCCTTGGTCTCGTAGATGGCCTCGCGGGTCTCTCGCAACAGTTCCAGGTACTGCTTCCGACCCGGAAAGTCCAGCTTGGCCAGTTCCTCGGGGTCGCGAGAGTGAAACACGAAATCATAGGGCCGGCAAAGATCCGGAACAATCTCCCCTGCGGCTTCCTTGTTGTCCGTCCGGGTGGCGGCCAGATGCTCGGCTATCATTTTGTCAAAGTCGTAGCTGGGCATGGTAAGGTCCCGGTCCACGTACTTGCTGCAAGGCGGATCGGCCCTCTCGAACTTCAACACCGGCTCCTTGACCTTCTTTGCCACATTGGTGATCTCCGGGTACACAGTCTTTGGCTGGTATTGGACATGGACGTTTTTAACCTGGGTGGGCGCCCAGTGGTCGTGGTGGTGCCGTGCTTCGAATATTTCCGAGTAAGGTCGCTTTTTTGTCCGCACGTTGGCAAAGCGGATTTTGTCCGGCTCCGGTTGTTCCAGCAGGGGCAGTGGCGAGTTCTGCAGCACTTCGTTGAAAATGGCCGACGGAATACGCTCGTTGGCGTAATCGCGCTTGCGCCTGGGGTGAATCGTTAGCGTCTTCTCCCTCTCCTTGGGTGCGGGCATATTTCCACGCCATCGAGGCGGCTGGGTTACCTCGAAATTTTCCTGTCCAGAAGTGGCCCGATAATCAGAGTTCCTGTAGCTGCGACTCTGTCGTCGATTCATCCATCGAGTGAATCCACGCAGCTGGCTCGATGACCGGTCACAGCCACCCTCCAAACGGTGCATAGCTTCCTCTTCATCGTAGGGAGGTTCTGGGGTCGGGACCCAGTCCACGTCAAGCTCCTCCTCCACCTCCAGGCACGGGTCTGCCGTTCGCAACTGCTTCTTCTCAATGCAGGGAAGACCGAGCAGTTTCATGCGGCCTAGTTTCTTCTTTTGGCGCTTGGACTTAGCGAGCTTCTGTTTGAGATTGAGATACTCCAAGGTCGTGTTCACTTTAGTGGCATCGAGCTCCTCAATTTCCTCCATCTCCTCCACCGGCCCCCGCCCATCTGGTACGAGTACCTTCTCCGGAAAGACGTAGCGAATGAGATTGAACTTCTTGACGTTATAGGCGGGCTTCGGCTTCACAAGCTTAAGGTTCTTTCTCAGCCGGCGGTGGTAGTGGAGACCCAGGCGTTCGTCAACAAACTCCCGGACAGCACTCTTTCGCTCGCGTCTCTTCATTAGCAGTGGCTCAGGCGGGAACAGATCCAGATTGGGGTCGTCGGGGTCCAGCACTTTGATGATGCCGCGCTCTACGTCCAATTTGATGGGCTCCTTGTGGGGCACGAGCTGGTTGAGCCACTCTTCGCGCGTGAGGCACCCCTTGACCGTTCGCTGGCCTTGCATAATCTGGTGCCGGTGCAGCTTGCCTCGAAGGCCATCCCCGTGCTTGAAGTGGAAGCCGCGAAGCTGAAACTTGTCCCCAATTTTTCCCACCTGGAGATAGTCCTCGTCGTCGCTGCTCTGCTCGCTGGGCGTGGAGCCGACGCTGCCCTCTATGCTCTCATCACAGCGCAGCTTCTGCTCCGCGTCCGGCAGGTTCTTAACTTTTCCCGTCCGCTCCAGGAAGAACTGCTGCGTCACACGCGCCTTGTCGCGCCTCACACAGTCTTCGCGGTGCATGATCGATTTGAGGCGCTCTGTCTCCGTCAAGGTCTTCGGAAAGACCTTCCGCTTCCGGATGATTGGCTTCAGTTCCACGTGCTTTCGAAAACTGCGTTCGATGGCGTCGTCAATGACGGCCACGTCGGCACGCAGGTCCTCCTCGGCCACAGTTCGCCCCTCAATCTCCTTGATGGCTGCATCCTGTTTCTGGCGTTCCTGCATCTGCTCCAGTTCCCTTTGCTTTTTCCGAAGGTAAATGTCCTTGTAGCGAGCAGCTCGACGCCTGCCCTCTTCCTCGATCTTAGCCTTGTTGGCCGGCTTGTCGGGGCTACGATACAAATGGACAAGTCGCGGCGAGCGCTGGGGACTGGGCTCGTGGATTGGCATGTCCTTGATTTTCGTGTTGTAGCGAAGCGGCACCGCCAGGCGCTCCTCTTTCAGCTCAGCCTCCACATTAACCTTGGTGTTTTTCTTGGCTTTGCGCCGCGCCATGTACCGTTGAACTCGCCAAAAAGTCTGTGCGTTCTGCTGTTCCATCTCGTCTTGCTCATAGGTCGTCTTGTAGTCCATGCCATGGAAATCGAGGCCCAGCGGATTCTGCAAGTCAATCACCTCGCAGATGTGGGTGTCGGACGTCTCCGAACCAGTGCTGGCACAAAGATTGTCGCCGTGCTTCACCAACTTGCTGATCAGATTGAATTCTTCCTCCTTGGTCAAGGGCTTGTGGCGCAATGCAACAGGATTGACCAGGCAATGGGTCTTCCGCGGGTCCTGGGTGAGAAAGAACTTCCGGCGCGCCGGCGTCACCTTGGCCAGCTGTTCGTAGTTCTTTGGGCAGCGACCAATACGTGGCCGCGGAGCACCAACCACGAAACTGGCTGGACACGGGCGTTTCCACTCATCCCCATTGAAGTTGGGCGGGCGCGACGAGGGCTTGTGCATCGAATCGATTAGCTCGTCCGAATCTGGGTCCCCAACCACCTCATCATGTGACAGATCTGTGGCCCTTCTGCTCTCAGGTTGCAGCTTTTCGACTACGCTCTGGGAATAAGAGGTGCCACGCATTTTCACCGTCTCGATCCCATCTCTGAAGTGGGAATTGCTGGAGCTTGCAAAGTCCCGCCCCTTACCACGGATAACGCTCTTGCCGCACTCGTCGCGTTTGTGCAGCTCTGTACGCTTGATGTTCACATCAGGAAACTCGAGATTCTGGACGGTCAGTAAATTATTCGAGTCGCGCTGGCCAAAGAAGTCGATGTTTCGGAACTTCTCGATCGTTCTCTCCTCCCGGGTTTTCTTTTCGGGGTTCTTTCTCGGTGGGCACCGGCGGACCAACTTTGGCTCTACCTTAAGCTTCCCAGCATCGCTTCCAGGAGGTCCTTCTGTTTGATGTCTTCGTGCTCCCGGCCCCGAAGGCTCCATCCTCGGAGCCTTTGGTTTATCGGGCGGCTGACTGTTGTGTGTGGCTCTACGCATCTGTTAATTTTTTTTATAACGATCACTAAAAAATAAATATACTTTTTTGTTGTAACAAGCGCTTTCACAGATGGACTGTGGAGAGAAATATTTTCTCCGCACAGACTCGAATCTGACTGAACCTGCTCTGGGTTCCATGTGAAACAATTTCTTGGATAGAGTTCAATATTGATTTTTGAATTTTTAATTTTAGGATTAACAGGCCTGTTGATTACCTGGAAAATGGGAACGGGAAGGACAGCGCTTGATTTTCATGAAGTTATAGGAGTCTACGCGTAAAATCATTTATGTGGCTGCAATTTTAGAGTCTCTAATCTTAGATGGACGGTTTTCTGATCGCTGGTTTCGGTTGTTCTTCGCCTTTTTACGCTTCAGCACACAGAATCTTCAATTTTTAAAAACATGGACAGCGTGGACTGTCCATGGACTGAGTAATTCTCTTAATAACCTTTACATGTTTGACCTTAACATAAGCATCTTTAAAAAACACCAGACACGCTTATAACAATCAATCAGGCAATGGGTTTTAGTTGTTTTTATTTTATTTTAATTTAAAAGAATAGTCGAAGTCTGGTTAGACTGTCTCTTCTCTTAGTTATTTGTCTTTCTTCTCGGCAGCCAAGGAGTTATACAAGCGATTAACCTCGTTCGCCACTAGGTTATCCAGGACGATGCCGTTCTGATCGATGAAAGCGGCGCAGGATTTTGAGCTGGTCTGCTCACGGCGGGCTCCGCTGCGAACGTCTCGAACGCTAAGGGTCAACAAGTACTTGTCGTCGTATTTGCGCATATCCGAACTGGCCTCCCATATGCGCTCTCGCTCCTTATCCTTCTGGACAGCCACGGCAAATGTGCCCTTCTCACGGAAACTGGAATGCAGAGTTAGCACACCCATCAAGGCGAAGTACGCCAGGACGCTAAACAGAAGAACTGGTCTGGACTGGGGAAACGGGTGGGTGAAGTCCCAAGCATGGGCCATTATAGCCACCCCCACTGCCAAGGCGCAGAGGGCTAATCGAGTATTGACCAGCCCGAATTGTTCCTTCAACTGAGGCCGATCGCCCAGCAAACAGGTCTTCACTGCATCGTCAAGAGCGTGCTTAACCGCCGATCCGTCCCACTTGTTTACTTTGACCAGCTGTCGCAAATCGAGAAAAAAGGAAAATATTCAGTGACGTGTCTTAAATGGAATAAACTCCAGTTTTCGAAGCCGGCAAAGCTCTGGTGGCCTTCTTCTGTGCTTTCTCACCTCCTCAGGCGGCTGCAACTTATCTTCCTTTTTGGTCATGTTTACTACGACTTTGGCCCTGTTCTGCTTTTGTTTTAGTAATAAGCAATTGTTTTATTTCCGAAAATAGTTATTTTTTTAGTTTCTTTTTGACAGCACGACAACAATATGCCCAGTGTGTGACCGCCTCCAGAAAACCAAAAATTCCGTTCATATTGGGAACAAGTGTTGGCTAATTCGAATTTTTACTGGGTAAAAAGGACCAGACTTGTCTTTCCTGAGCAGAAAGAATGTGACCAGGTTTTCGAGACCCGATGCAATAAAAAAAAAGGAAAACACGTAGCAGCGTTTTAGGAGCCCGCGGTTAATGTTACGGGAAGATTAATATAATCTCCTACTTTTGATGTGGAAAGAATCGATTTGTAGAAAACGATTTGTTGTGAGGTGACCATCCACCCGCTATTTTTTTTTTACGGAATGATCCCCGCTGAATTGGCTCAATATGTCGATTGATTGTCGAACTAGACACAGTTCTGTCCCACGGGACTGACTCCATTTGGCAATGATCTGCTTTAGCTGCCAGTTTACACCACATTCGATGTTCAATCCGGACATTCCTGGCACTCCTGCCGAAGTCCACCTGAATGAGATTAACAGCAGAGGAGCAGCAGATGAGGGAGTATATCACTAAACGAGATCAGAAAATTTTTCCTTTTGGATTTTCGTGAAATTTTTAATTGTTTTAATTTTTTATTCTTTTACATTAAAAAAGCATACCGTTATAAACGTACCTTGATAAAAAATTTGTTAGTAATAATTTACAAAATAATTTTTTATATATTTCAATAGTACTAAGTGCTCTTTCTTTTCAGTTAAACACTTATTGCAAATTATTAGAGCTTAAATTTTATATTTCTGTCTATTTTTTCACTTTGTAAAATTGTGTTGTTCAATTAAATATAACAAAAAAATATTCACATCGACTTCATTTGCGCCATTAGGTCCTCTAAGCTGGTTTCGTCGGAGACAGTTGCCACATTTTGCTCTTCCGCCTTGTCTTTTTCTGGGGCATCATAGGCCAGCTTCAAGCCCTGTCCTACGACTGCCGACTGCACTGGCTCTGAAACGCTGACGGGTGCATCATCCGCCACCAACTCGATACCCCATTCGTTGGTAGCATGCAGGGGCTCATCGCTGGAACTGATCTCCTCCTTAACCTCTATGGGCTTAGGCCGCGCTTGGAAATCTTTCTGCCTTAACAAACAATTTCTATCATCGCATTGAGGGTTTGGTTTCAGCGTCATCTTCGGGAAAAAGTCGTTTAAAGCATTGTAGCCCAGATAGTCCGAAACCTCGCCAAAGTTGAGTAAATACTTCAAGGCATTTTGCACCAGGAAACCAGCTGTGATGCCCATAGTTGTGGGCAAGGATGCGGCGCACACACCTTCCCTTTTAAGAGTCTTTTCATCAATATTTTCAGCCACTACCAAGGGCGGAGCACAGGCAAAACAGGCTGTGTCTCCCGGGCGAATGAATTGAATATGTCCGGAAACGGCATTTTCCGAGACACCCGACTCAAACCAGTTAAGGTTTCGCTCATTACAGGCAGCATTGATCGCCATTCTGGCTTCAAAATTATCCACGCAGCTTAGGACAAGGTCTACGGGCTGCCCAGGTTCCTTTCCACTCTCTGTAATTGTGGCCAAGAAGCGGTCGAAATTATCTACCGTCGTTATGTTGTAATTATGCGTTTCGATCTCCACATCCGGGTTGATAAAACTAAGAGTACGCGCAGCGGCCTCCACTTTGGAAAGCCCCGCTTGGTCGGGGGTGAAGAACAGCCGGTTCATATTCGCCAATTCCACCTTGTCGTAGTCGAACAGAATTAGTTTTCCGACGCCGCAGCTAAAATAGGGATTCAAATGATGTCAGAGATGCATAATGCATAATAAGACTTTAGCTGCAGCAGACATCTCAGCTTTTTATAACGCTTTAAGAGATTACCGGGTGAGCATATCGGCAGTAACGCTTCCCACGCCTCCTACGCCAACGATGGCTACCGCCTTGTCCCTTATGCGCTCGTACTCCTTCACAATGTTCATCCGCTGAAGTGCCATTAGTCGGCTGTAGGGATTGGAGTCCACCACCTCTGCGGACATACGATCGATCCGACTGCGTGCCTGCCGATTCGAAGACTTCTGCTCCTCCAGCTCAACCTTTAACTCGGCGATGATCGCCTGCAGTTCGTCTATTGCGTGGGACATTCTGGTATCGACCGCTAAGACTTATTTAAGAAAACAATAAGCTAATCAATTCAAACTCTAATTCGCTTTCGATTGCTCTGTCGTCGTGTCACTTTCGCTCCGAATCAGCTGCTGGTCATCAGCAGTGAGACCGTATGGCTAAGCGGCAACCCGGTTGGTGTTGATAAATGACTAAACAAGCGCGCGTTAATTTGAATTAAACTAGTTTAAATAAGCTTATTACTATTAAGAACTAAATCAATAAATTTTAATCTAACTTATATTTTATTACGTTTAAAAAATAATTTTTGCGTTTTTAATAATGTCACGAAAATGTTACTTTGAGTTACGTCTTAAACTATTAAATTTTAGTTACCGGAGGTTTTTTTTTACCAATAGTTTCTATGATGATGGAATCATTTGGTCCCAAGAAAAACGTCCATGTAAACAGGCATTACCATTAAGAAAAACATCCATGTAAACAGCCATTACCGATCTAAAAAAGAATTATTCAGTTGCTGGCTTAAAAGTGGATAAAGTAATAAAGAACAATAGTGGAAATCTCGGGGTTATTGTTCAGTGCATTATCTAAAGATATGCGTTGCTAATATCACTGACATAACCATTAAGAAAAAAGTGATAAATGTGTAAATATTTTGAGTTAGACTGTATTTGCCTAAGATTTGAATCTGCATAAAGATTAAGCCTTCACGTTTCGAAAAAAAATTAATAATAACTTATTAATGGCGATAGTAGTATCAATCCCGTTGAGGTATTTTCCCAGAATTAATAACCTGTGTAGATCAAGGCGGCCTGGAGAAGTTGATTTCCACGACAATGTCAGCAGGATCATCGGAGCGGAGAGAGAAAATTGGAAAGGAAGGGAAGAGAGAAGCAGCATCGCAATGCGGCAGTAGAATCCTGCCGTTTGGGTTCTTGGGTTCTAGAGCGGAGTGATAGGGTTTGGACAGTCTTGAGTCGGAAGACGAAGTCAGGGATTGGCAATGCGGGAGATAGTTACCCTGCAGATTGGCGGAGCCGGGAATTCTATAGGCGATGCGGTAAGTTCTTCTGATCATCAAATTAAGAAGATTCGTCATTTAATGTTAATTATTTTTAGTTCTGGCACGTGATTTCTCATGAGCATGGCGTGGACTACGGCTCCGGACGTTTCGGGGGCACAAGCCCGCTCCAGTTAGAGCGGATCAACGTATTTTTTAACGCCACCGCGAGCAAGAGGTTCTACGCCCGGACCATCATCATTGACACGGAGGCTAGCACCATTCAGCGGTTGAGCTCGAGCAGCCAGTTGTACAGACCGGAAAACTTTGTGGCCGGATCGGAAAGCGCGGGCAACAACTTCGCTAGGGGCTACCACACCGACGGGGCCGAGATTCTGGAGCAGGTACTTGATAGCACGCGTCGGGAAGTGGAGTCCGTAGATTCCCTGCAGGGCTTTCAGCTGCTCCACTCGATCGGAGGCGGCACGGGCTCCGGTCTGACCTCTTTGATCATGGAGGCGTTGGTGGAGCAGTATCCGGACAATCTGCTCTGCAATTACGTGACCATACCATCGCCAAACATGTCCCAGGTGGTCGTCGAACCGTACAACGCGCTCCTTAGCACTCCCGCACTAGTGAACAACTCGCATCTTACCTTCTGTTTGGACAATGAGGCACTTTTTCAGATATGCAATCGGAACCTAAAGATAAAGATGTCTGGCTACGAGCACATCAACCACATAGTGGCTTTGACTATGTCTGGGATTACCACCTGCCTGCGATTTCCTGGCCAGCTGAACGCCGGACTTCGCAAGATTTATGTGAATATGGTGCCGTTTCCTCGACTGCACTTCCTCATACCGGGGTTCGCCCCGCTGGTCACCTGCAAGCAACAGCAGTTTAGCAAGGGAACGGTTTCTGAGCTGGTTCAGCAGATCTTCTCCAGCAACAACCTCCTCTGCGCCATTGATCTGCGCAAGGGAAAGCTCCTGACGGCAGCCGGTATATTCCGTGGTCGGATGTCTCCTCGGGAGGTCGACCAGCTCATGACCGGAGTTCGGAACAAGAACATTAACAACTTCGTCGACTGGATACCGAATAACATCAAGACGGCGATTTGTGACATTCCGCCCAGGGGCCTCAAGATGTCGGCCACGTTCATTGGCAACACGACGGCCATTCAGTCGCTGTTTCAGCGGCTTCTCGATGGCTCAACGGCGATGCTGCGGCGGAAGGCCCATCTGCACTGGTACACCGGCGAGGGCATGGAGGAGCAGGAGTTTATGGACGCACAGCAGGAGCTGCAGGCAATCATCGACGACTACCGGAGCAGTGCCGAGGGGGAGGACTCTGGCGGGGGAGGTGGCGGTGGTGGGGGAAGCGGCAGCCAGGACGGCGAGAGCGGCGACGAGGTTCCCGCCGGGCCCAGGTGTACTTACTGCCCTGAGTAATACCTCCTGCATCCCAAATGCCTGGCGGCTGTTTCCCCTTTCCACCAAGCCGAAGATTCAGGGTAGGGGCTTTCCTTGCATCCTAGCTATTTCTTTCGAGCGTTTCACGAGCATTTTATACCTTTGCAGGGCATGTTAATTTTGTCCATATAACTTCCGACCCTATAACCACCTTCATCAAAAAGTTCTCGGAATTTATTCGGAAAATTAAAAATACAAGTTTATACATCGAAATTTGTTATATTGTCCCCCTCAAAATCATGATGAATATAATAAGAATTCTGAAATATGGTCGAAACTTTTATCTCCACAATCAAAGATTGAATAGAGTTTTGCATAAAAACTTTTTCAAAATATCTTTCTAAATATCTCAGAAATATGCAATTTGTAGGGGCGGGAGGGAGTGTGGCTTATAAATAAATACAAAAATTTGGAACAAACTTGAACTGCTTGTGTATTGTAGGAGTCCTCATGCAAAATCCTATAGCTCTATCTCTTATAGTCTCTGGGATCCACGCGATCAAAATTTTAACCCGTTTGTATGGGAAATTTTACCATATATATAATAATATATGGGTATTTTTCGGACGTATGGGTATAGGACGGACGAACGAAAGGACAGTCAGACATAGCTATATCGACTCGGCTGTCGATGCTGATCAAGACTGATTCCTTGGGCAATTTTTTGAGTTTTTCCATTCTAGTTATATTCTACCCGGACTATCCAATTGAATAAGGTCGGCCGAATATATCCAACATTTGAGATGTATATCCGATCTTCACTGGAAGGGCTTGATCAACTGCGGCTCCGGCCGAAGTTAGCTTTATTATTAGCTATATTATTATTTAAATCATTTAAACTAAAAGGGTTAAAACTTGACATGTTTCATGTTTACTTCATTTTGAAAGCTGTCATAAAAATTCTTCCATATTAATTTTTATAAAATACTAAAATGAGTTTACCCAAATTTGTTTGTATCGTCGCAATTGTTTTATTAACCCACAGAAACGGGACTAAATCACAGTACACGTCTATGAATCACCAAGAAAATGAAAATACAACCGCAGTAGCGCCCCCGATGGATTCCAAAATTTTAGCTGATTCGAATTTCCAATTCCTAGTTACCGGTGGCTATCGGCCAGAGACTAATAACTTGGTCAAGTATTTGGTGGGTTTGCATAGGAGCGAGGGCAATATACAATTTGGGGACAGATACTTTTGCGAAGGTTCCATCATAGCTAAGCGCGTCATCCTGACTGCAGGCCACTGTATGTTTGAAGAGTAAGTATTGACAAGCTTATTGGAAAACCATGGTTTTAATTCTGTGGATTTTTAATTTCGGTTTCTGCATTAAATGTCACCAAAAAGGGACATTCCCCATTTTAGGCACAGAGTTGGGTCTTGCCCTGACTTATCATTAAACAACCTGTCTATCATATTCCCGTCTTCCTCAGTCCGGTACTCGTAGAGTGTAAGGGTACGAGGTGTGTTCAAAAAGTAAGATGACTTTTCAAATTTCGCGTGCAACATATTTTCAATTATCGATTTTTTTGTTTTTGTTGTGGTGGTAAACTCTTCCCTAACATCTGTATCAAGTTTCAATTGAATCCCCTTTTTTGTTTGGTTGTGAGAGGTGTAAAGGTTACAAGTTTTTTGCGTGCTCGGCGATTTTTTGTTATCGAACAATATTGATCAAAGGATTTGCATCAAATTTTGAGTAAAAAATAAAATAAAGTGCTCCGAAACACTTGAAATGTTGACAGTGGCATACGGTGAAACTGTTCTGAGTTTGTTTACTAAAATGTTTACAAGAGTTACAAACTCTTCCACGATGGCCGGGAAAATGACAATGACGAGCCTCGCTCTGGACGCCCAAGCACGTCAACAACTGATGAAAACGTTCAAGCAGTGAAGAAAATTGTTTTGGAAAATCACTTGTCGAATCACTATCTGAGAAGTTGCTGAAGATGTCGGTATATCGCTTGAAATGAAATAAAATGCAATTTTTTCTACCTTTTTGGGCATGAATTGCTGAATTTTGACCAAAAAAACCGTCGCATGAGCATCACTTAAGAGCTGTTGAATGACGTCAACGACGACCCAGATTTACTCAAAAGGGTCATAGCTGGTGACGAATTAAGGTTATATGGTTATGATATCGAAACCAAAGCCCAATCGTCCCAATGGAAGAGCCCAGGTGAGCCAAGACCGAAAAAAGCACGCCAAGTTCGACCAAATGTCAAATTTTGATCACTGTTTTCTTCGATTACCATGGCGTGGTGCATCATGAGTTCTTACCATATGGTCGTACGGTCAATAAACAGTATTATCTGGAAGTTATGCGGCGTTTGCGATAAGCAATACGAAAGAAACATCCAGAATTGTGGAAAAATAATTCATGGCTTTTGGATCACGATAATGCCCCTGCTCACTCATCTTTGCTTGTGAGAGATATTTGGCCAAAAACAACACCATAATAATGCCTCAGTCACCATATTCACCGGATTTGGCCCCGTGTTACTTTTTCTTGTTCCCAAAACTAAAGAGATTTTCGACGGTTGAAGAGATAAAGACTGCATCGCTGGAAGAGCTCAAGGCTATACCGAATTCTTATGGGAAGTGCTTTGAGGATTGGAAAAACCGTTGGCATAAGTATATTGTATCTGAGGAGGATTACTTTGAAGGGGGCAACATAAATATTGATAAATAAATTAATAGTTTTTCTTGAAAATACAAAGTCACCTTACTCTTTGAACACACCTCGTATATTTTATATATTCTTATATTATTATATATATATATTCTTATATTCTCGAAGACTACATGAGATAGAGTTATCCGATTTGGAACTTGAACTTGTATGGTATCCCCGGAGATCAAGTTTGTATCATAATTTTACTATGCCCACTCCCGCCCCAAACTGTTCCCGCCCAGTTTGATGCCAAACTGTTCCCATGGCTAATCTAAATATACAAATTTTTAGACTTTTTAGTCAGCTTCCCTACTGAGTTTGTTGTTGTTGTAGGCTTGTTGTTGTGGTTTTGACCAAGCTCAAAAGTATGCAACAAAAATTTGTTTCTACGAGTCCATACAGTTTTAACTATGAAAGTTATTTAAATTGTGGGTGGAAGAGATGAGTACCGGGTACAATGTAGTCGGGAAACTCGACTATAGCCGTCATTTCTTGTTGGACGGCTAACCAGGATTGTCCATTTAATCCAGAGTATTTTCTAAATTTGTTTCTCCATGTCCTTTAAATATTTTAAAGGAATGTAAAGTTGAAGCCATCGGATATCTTTGTCGTCGCCGGAACGCCCAAAAGACTGGTTAAAACCGATAGCACGCAGATCATGAAAGTGAAAAGCTTGAAGGTACACCCCAGATACTCCAGAGTAGGGGCCCCAACGAACGATTTGGCTCTTTTGATACTGGAAAAGGAAATATCGATGGGGAACTTCACAGACACCATTCCTATTACCAACCATACGCCAGAGGCTGGATTGAATTGCACCGTTGTTGGCTGGGGAACAGTTTTACCTGTAGGCATCTAGATCAAACATCTCGCCTGTCCCTGCTCGCCTAACTTTTCTTTCCATAGGAAGGACCACTTCCCGACGAAGTTGTATATGGAGACGTGCAAATCCAGCCGCGGAGCTTTTGTAAAAAGCTACAAGGCTTTAGGAGCGATGTCATGATCTGCGCCTGCAGTCCCCTTAATTATGAGGTGGACAGCTGCCAAGGTGACTCTGGTGGCCCGATAATCTGCAACGAGAAGGTTTACGGCATCGTTTCCTTTGGCGATGGTTGCGGCGAGCCCAACAATGCAGGCATCTACACCAACGTATACCGATTCCGCAAGTGGATAGAGAGGAACTCTCGTTCCGAGAACGTCAAGCAGTTATCCTTAGTCTTGCTACTCTTAATAATACACACGCAGCTTGTTTTATAACTCATTTATAAATATGACTTATATTTTTCAGTTGTTTGTTTTAATTGAACTTTATTTAAGTCTTTCCATCTCATTAATTTAGGTGTAATAAATTAAACAATTTTTGATCATATTATTTTTTTTCCTCTATTTAGAATCAAACCTTTGAATTTAAATCTTTAAAACGACACAAGGCATGTTAAGATATAATCAATGATTCTAAAGTTTTAAGTTTAAGTTTATTTGTCATTTTTTTTATTCTTAGATTTAACCAATACTTTTCAAAGTTCTAAAAAAAATAAATGAAAATATAACAAGAAAGGTGAGCTAACTTCGGGCGGAGCCGAAGTTGATATACCCTTGCAGTTATAATCGGAAACATCGGATTTAGTTGGTCGATCCTTATGAGAATATCATAATATAAGCAATTTATTAAAAAAAAAAATCTAAAAAAAAATCTCAAGCTTCTATCTTCATGAACAGCAAAGTTGGTATTTTTACCATTTCCGATCGTTCAGTTATATGGAAGATATAGGATATGGTCAGCCGATCCTTAAGAAATTTGGTAGGTCGGCCGTTCCGGCTTATATACTGCGTGCAACGTAGGGTTTGTGCAAAGTTTCAAGTCGATAGCTTTAAAACTGAGACTAGTTTGCGTAGAAACAGACAGTCGGACAGACGGACAAGCTCATATCAGCACAGGAGGTGATCCTGATCAAGAATATATATACTTTATAGGGTCGAAGATGTCTCCTTCACTGCGTTGCACACTTTTGGACAAAATTATAATACCCCCTGCAAGGGTATAAAAATATATGGGGTAAAAATAAAAAAAAAAAACATCTAATCTAACAATATTTTGTTGTCAAAATTTTTGAAATTTTGCAGCTAAACAAAAATAAACTGATGGACAAATTGGAACATTTTTATATATTTAAAAAAAAAATAATTTTTTTTTGTACATTTTTATAATATTGTCCAGCATCAAAGTCGATTTACCCATGTCCGTCTGTCCGTCCGTTCGTATGAACGCGTGGATCTCAGAGACTATAATATTAGAGATATAGGATTTGTCATGGAGACTGTTAAAATGCGCAGTTCAAGTTTGTTGCCACGCCCCTCCGCCCTCACAAATCGGGAATTTATGTAGCCCCGGTACAGGAAGGCTTATGAAACTTTGATGCCAAACTATTTTTTATAGTTTCTATTTCTATATATCTATTTCTATAGTATATATGTATGTGAAAACAAATTTCATTTGAATCGGCCGATTTTTTGAGGAGATATACCCATATATGTATGTACCTTAAGATTATAAGAGATAAGATTTGGAACTTGGGATTGTATGATATCCACGCATATCAAGATTGTGTCAAAATTTTTCCACGCCCACACCCGCCCCCAAAACAGAAATCTGGTTATAGAACCAGTTTGTTAGTTTTTGGAAAATGTTTTTATGCCAAACTTTTCCAATGACCTACAATTCAAGAAGCAGCCAAATCGGATAATTTTTAGAGTTTGTTTTTGTTGTTTTTCCCTAGCGCAACATTATGCAACAAAACGTTTTTGGACAAATTGCGAGTCCATAAAGTAATGTTTAAACTATAAAGGTCAGTTGTGGTTGGATGAGATGAATACCGGGTATGATATAGTCGGTAAACTCGACAATAGCCGTCCTTCCTTGCTTTTAGTTGGAAAACTATTCTTAAGATTTAGTTTTAGGTTAAGAAGGTCTGTTCTTTAAAGAAAACTTTTTCTTTTTTAACCAGATTCTTCCCCAAACAGCTACTTCTGGAAAATGTTTGTATGGAAATAACCAAACTAAAAAACTATCGATTCTCTATACTTTTGTTGGATCGGACGCACCCAGAAATATTTCAATTCGTTGGCAATCCAAATATATAATTAAATTTTTAAATAAATACGTGCAAACAAATCAATTAAGAATTATGATGAAATCACAGTCCCCTTCGCAAATAATCAAAATATATTTTTAATTTAATACCTCGACAATGGGCAATAATCGACAATAGTGTATAAAAAATTCTTTATTGCGCTTTTCAATAAAAATATGCATATATGTATGGATATACCTCTGGTATTACCGATGTTGTCACGGGTGTTGTCGCTTTGAATAATATTCGCTGAAGTCCTCGCTGCTCACATGTCTACTAGGTCCAGCTGCTTCAGTACTGTGTCTAGCTTTGGGCCGAAGTTCAACCTCAGGCTCGTATATGTTTTCGATTAATGCCAGACTCGACTGGACAACTTTTACGCGTCGCTTTCGATCTGGCAGTCCCTCTTTGCAGCCTTTCAGCACAGCCCTTTCGGATGCCAGGCCGGCGCAACTCATAATGATGCCAAGTAGCACGCAAAACTCCACCAGAGCTAGCACCAGGCTGGCCCCGAGAAAAACACTGTAGTGTTCCCGGTACCAATCGTCGAGATGAGGAAGACAGGACTCCGTAAATCTCTCCCTTTCATAACTCAAACGCTCAAGGGACTGGCAAACAGAAGAGTTTACTGGCTTGGGATCCAGGTACGCCAACGGGTTCGGTGCATTTTCCAAGACACAGCAGCTGAGCGGTACAGGCCAATTCCTCTGGCCAAAATTCTGAAGACGCCAAAGGGACGTATCGTAGTCCAGGGAGCTCTTCATACCACAGCACCCAAAGCGAGCCTGCGCCAAGTCCATAGCGTTTGTGAATTGTTCCTGCCCAGGTACTCCATAGTGCTCTTGCAAGGCTCTCACCATTTGACTCTCGTCCAAGCTAATGCCCAAGCAGTGGGGCCAAAGGGTAATGGCAAGGCACACTACCGACTCGGTCAGAAGCAGAACCACCACGCTCAAAAAGTAAATGCAATGGAAAAGATAGGTGTGCAGGCAATTGGCCCAGCAGCCCACGACAGCGGCCAGTACAGCTATTAACCCCGCGGAGGCGACTCCCAGGGCAATGTAGTGGAGCAGGGGCTGTTGGAGCGAGTTCAGCCGATCACTGGAGGCCACAAAAAGTCTGGATAGCAGAACCCTCTTACCGTCGGCATACAGGTAGCAGCCCGAAGCAATTAGTAGCAAGCCACATATCTGAAAGAGAATTCGAGCTTATAGTAGAGTTATTAACATAGATGTAGAGTTCACAATATATACGTGTAGGTGTCGAGCCTTTTGAAGAGCAGCCGACCAAGACAAAAATTGAAAGCGAAAGAACTATCTATGTATGTACGTACATTGTACAATACAAATAGGTAGAATGATCTAGATAAGCTTACGTTGCGTACACTGAAAGACATTGCGTTTGAAAATATGTAGCATTGCCCATGAATATAGCGGTTGAACATAGTAAAACATCTGCTACAAGCCAACTATATAATAAATAATAAATAAATAAAAAATAAATTAATGATATTTTCCAATTTTAAAATTTATTTTAAACTCTTTGTATTAATAATAAATAATATTATTGGAGTTTTTAATCTATCTTTTTTTAAATGCTATCAAAGACCTGACCACAACTACGGAATAAAACATTGTTAAAGCATAGTAGCTTTATGAATAGCTCAGAGTTTCAGATAGACATGACATTTAAAAAAAAGAGATTTATTTTAATTTATTCCAATTTATTACAATAAAGCTACAAAAAAGTCCCAAGCTTCTATCTTCAAAAATACCAAAGTTGGTTTCTTTAAAGTATATGGCAGCTATAGGATATAGCCTTTCCGACCTATAAACTGCGTGCAAAGGAAAGAAGGGTGGGTGCAAAGTTTCAAGTCGATAGCTTTAAAACTGAGTGACTAGTTTGAGTACTCAGGAAGTGATCCTGATCAAGAATATATATACTTTATAGAGAGGTCGGAGAGGTCTCCTTCAAAGCGTTGCACACTTTTGACCAAAATTAAAATACCCTATGAAAGGGTATACAAATTGAAACAAACTTGAACTGCGTGGGCGTAGTAGGAGTCTCCATGCCATATCCAATAGCTCTATCTCTTATAGTCTCAGAGATCCATGCGTTCATACGGACAGACGGACATGGACTTGGGTGTTGATGCTGATCAAGAATGTAGGGTCGGACATAGTTCATTCTCTATGGATTCTCTATTTGATTCCATAATTTGATCAATTTCTTCTCTTTTTCTTCTGGACTTTGGTTCAGTGGAGCCTAAAGGTTATGGACCAGGTGAAATTATGCGTGGAGATTTTTTTCGGCCTGTGTTATTACACCCACTAATTTTTTGCAAGTATAATAAAAGTTTCAAAATACTCACCAAAAAGAAAAAATTACATAAATTTAGCAAAAACTTGTAATAAGCACGACCCATAGTTAAAAGCAAATGCGACTGCACTCGGTCCTAATGCAAATAATACATAATATATTCCTGGAAATGCTGCATCACGATCGTTGCGTATTCGATAATTCAATAGAGTTTTATTAAATTTATAACTGAGCTCGGTGCGCCGATGTTTGCCTTCAAGTGCGCTGAACACCTCTGCCGAACAACAAAAACTTTCAGAGAGTGAAAATACACCACCGTTTCGCTTAGCTGGACAAACACAAATATAAATTCTCCACCAGTGGCGGAACAGGTGGGTATTTTGGAGTGGTCTACATTAAAATTGTACAAATGCCCTTTTCTTTGAGACCCCTTCTAAATAAAGTGTGGGACGCCTCTGGCTAGTGAAATAAACGTGTTTATTTCACAGAGGAAGGCACAACTCTTGCCGCAACAGTTTTACAATGGGAAATGCATCATAGTTGGAGTAACATTGTACAAAATAAGTGTTTTAAATTCGGCTTGTTTGATCTAAAATTGACATTTCTTTTTGGGTTTTTAAATGATCAACTGGAGTCGCCAAAGAAAGTGTATTCCAACCACGGTTGAGACAAAAGCTATCATTTCCAACACGTTTTATAACTGGTTCGTCGTCATCCAATCGGAACCAAATACAACAACCAACATACGAAGCGGGTTTTGTCGTGGTTCTTAGCCTGGATGATACCCTTTCATTACGTTTTACGGTAATGAAAAGTTTTAAAATTTTTACCACATACACAATTGTGAACCTTCATTATATCCTTGCGTATGGTGTGTGTAGCTAATTTTTTTGTGTTTAGCGCTCTAACCTCTAACTCTACCCCTGTAAATTTTAAATCTTGTATTTCTGCGCAAATACGTTTTTTTACTTTTGATGCGATTGATTTCAAACACGCCGACTCTCTTCTTTCAATTGCAGTATATAAATATTCATGTACAAATGTTATTCGGACTCTACTGACTTCCGTCGACTGTAGTCGGCCGACTACATCTTATAGCTGTTATAGCTGAGATCTTGACCAAATAAAATAAATTGGTTTGACCTGGTCTAGTTCTAAAGTTACCGAGCTTTTAGATTACTCTTTAAGTTACCGAATTCGAATTGCTGAGTCTGCCCCGCCACCCACTTTTCTCGATAACTACTACACGGTAGTTGATGCATATAAGCAGAAAACAGAGAGTTGGCTCATTCTCTTGCCGGTACTTGTAACATCACCGTCGCAGTCATCTTGCAGCACATAGGCTGGTTCTGGGTTAACGTGGTACTAGCTATTTCGATTTTAACTGAACTGTAAGATCTTTCAGTGCTCTTTCACGCCTAGCGAAAAGCTGCACTCGCTTTCCTTCTCCTTTGTCGAAGGGACGCAGTTATGTAAACAATTCTTCTAAAACATCAATCTGCTCTAACAGGTCGTGGCGCTTTGCTTTATAAATGCCACGATTGTTTTGCATTTGACGAGTACAGAGTGAAGAATATCTATTTTAGGGATTTCTAGCAAAAAAAAAAACAATAAAACCGACTATTCTCTTTAAAAATAGATAGTGTAACGCGGCTTGATCGTAAAATGTCAGTGCTCTCGTCATCGTCAATAATTAGAGGACGCTAGCGCGTATGCGCAGTGTTGCCCCCGTGTATCGGAAGCGCGACGCACGGTCATTGACGGCAACTTTCAATCCTGGCTCGCTAACGCGTACGCGCGGTGTTCCCAGGTGTAGTGGGTGGCGCGACAACCACTGGCAACTCCCAATCCTGGCGCGGTAGTGCGTATGCGCGGCGTGTCCAGGTGTAGAGGAGGCGGCAGTCAGCAGCTAGCTCCCAATCCAGGCTCGCTAGCGCGTATGCGCGGCGTTCCCCTGTTGTAGCGGAGCGGAAGAGCGCCGCTCAGTCTTTGACCTGTCGCAGACGACCCAAGGGGGTGTTCCAAGAGGTACGAAGGCCTGGGTGTGGCCAGCGAAAGGGCGACTGTTAGGGGAACCTACGGCAACGCAGCACGATAAGTAGCAGCGGCGACGGAGCAGCGGCAGCGACCGGGACACCAGGAACGGCCTACAGGAAGCGCCAACGACGGAGCCGGCAGAATCAGTAGGAGCAGAAAGATTACGGAGCGAAACTTGTTGAGATTAAATAGGAATTAACATTTTATTTCGGTTAAAACCTCTAAATAAAGAGTTTTTTAAGTTTTATCTATTTGTATTATTTCTGGGTTCGAGCAATGACGTCGAACTACATATAAATTCGGTGGAACAGACCCACAAACTCTGTGAGCTACCCGCTGCAAATTGTTGCGAGCGGGAAGCTGAAAAACAGTTCGTTACAAAGATCCAAATAGGATAGCTCGACACAATATGCCTTAGTACTCTATGACCGGGTATAAAAACACCAAAGTTACAGAATTTTCGATCAATCAGTTTTATGAAAGCTGTAGGATAGTCGGCAGTTCCCGCTTATATACTGCGTGCAAAAGAAAGAAGGGTGTGTTCAAAGTTTCAAGTCGATAGCCTTAAAACTGAGTGATTAGTTTGAGTAGAAACAGACAGACGGACAGACGGACATGCTCATATCAACTCAGGAGGTAAGCCTGATCAAGAATATATATACTTTATAGGGTCGGAGATGTCTCCTTCACTGCGTTGCACACTTTTGACCATAAAAAAGTATAAAAATTGAAGATTTTGTTGCACTTTCCGTTTGGAAAGTCACTCCTCTCTCCAAATCTAGTGACTTTGTTGTGATACCAAAACTTTCAACACACTGAGTATTGACCCATAAATTATATTACAAATATTTTTGGTACAAAACAAAAATACAGAAAGTTACTTGTCATATTTTTTGTCTTGCTTCCATATCTGTCAACAAAAACTAACCTAATAAACAACAAAATCTTAAATGGGTTTACAAAAAATTGTTTGTATCGTCACGATTGTTTTGTTTGCCAACAGAACCGTGACAGAAGCACAGTGTACATCTATTCAGCTGCAACAAAATGAAAATACATCCATAGCACAGCCAACGATTAATTTAAAAAATTTAAATAGTTCGGATTATGAATTTTTGGTCACCGGCGGATATCGGCCAGAGCATAACAACCTGATCAAGTACGTGGTGTCTGTGCGAGCGTTTAAGCAGAAACACCACTTTGGAGATAACCACGCATGCGGAGGTACGATAATAACGAAGAGTGCCGTCCTGACTGCAGCCCACTGTTTGTACAATGCGTATGTCAATCAATACCAAATCCTTTTTTAGCTTCCGTAAGAATATTACGTTATGTAGCAAGTGCCATTTTTGTCAGTCAAAAGATTTAAGGCACTTAACAAATTGTCCTTTCTTATATTTTATTAGTCCTCGCTGTTTATAACGCGTTGCACTGTACATATAGTACCTTTAAATGTTTTTAAAACTGCCAATCCTTTTGGACATAAGTTCTTGGTAAAAACTCTTCGCTTTATCAGGTTCCGTAAACTTTTTTCATTTTAATTTTAACGAGTCAAAAAACCAAATGTTTTAAACCAAAATATTGTATATTTTTTAAATTAAACTTACAGTTCCGAAAATTTTACCTCTAAGATATTTAGAAATTCATAAACCCATATTGTTTGCACTTATAGCAATAAGTAATAAAAACATCTTTGTTACAACACTGTTTATAGTTTTTCAGGTTTTATACCCTTGCACAATGAAAACAACCGAAGACACCGAAGATATTTTTAACTACTTCTTTATAAAATATACCTATGAATAATGTATAAATATTTTCATCAGGAAAATACAAGCGATTTTAAAACGCAAATCGGGAATTCTTTTAAAGAAATCCTACAAATAACTACGCGAAAATATTTATTTTTTGATGTTAAGTAGGTGGGATATAGATTTATAGAGTCGGTACGGTATTCAATTAAGTTCGTTTTTAGTTACGAAATCCTTTTTTTTTCTTATTTTTGAAATGAAACCAGTAAGAAAAGAAATCAGGGTGTGATCGTAATTCACAGTATTTAAACCAAATATTTCTAAGACCACGTTCTTTTATTCTTCAATCTTTTAAAGACATAAAAAACTTAAGGCTAAGCACCTCAGTGTCGTAGCCGGAACACCGAAAAGACTGGTACGGGTCGAAACCACGCAGAGCATAAATGTGAAACGATTTAAGGTGCACCCCAAGTATAAGCAACAAAGAAGCCACAAGAACGATTTAGCAGTATTAATTCTGGAAAAAGATCTGTCAATTGGGGAGTCTGCAGCTACCATCACCGTCCCCCAATCAAAGCCCCAAGCAGGACAAAATTGTACCGTCGTTGGGTGGGGAACTGTTTTACAGGTAAGAACTTAAGTCGATAAAACGCTCGCCTGACCTTTTCTTCTCGTAGCGTAGTTTGGACCACTTCCCGACGAGGCACTGAATGCAAACATGCAAATCCTTCCGCTTAGCTATTGCAAGACGCTCGAAGGCTTTAAGGAGGAGGGTATGATCTGCGCCTCTAATCCAAAAAATTTCGAGGTGGATAGCTGCCAAGGTGACTCTGGTGGCCCATTGATTTGTGGCGAAAGAATTTACGGCATCGTTTCTTTTGGCCGTGGTTGCGGCGAGCCCAACAATGCTGGCGTCTACACTGACGTATACTACTTCCGCGATTGGATAGCGAAGAACTCTTGTGCCCAAGACGTTATGCAATTACCTTTAGTTGTGCTACTGTTGATAATCCCCTTAAAGCTTGTTTACTAAAGCATTATTGGCTATGTAATTTTGTCAGAAAGTGTGAAACCCAGAGAGTGAGCCACGTCCCACCTTGTTATACCCTTGCAGAGGGTATTATAATTTTGTCCAAAAGTGTGCAACGCAGTGAAGGAGACATCTCCGACCCTATAAAGTATATATATTCTTGATCAGGATCACCTCCTGAGTGGATATGAGCATGTCCGTCTGTCCGTCTGTCCGTCTGTCCGTCTGTCCGTCTGTCTGTCCGTCTGTCTGTCCGTCTGTCTGTCTGTTTCTACGCGAACTAGTCTCTCAGTTTTGAAGCTATCGTCTTGAAACTTTGCACACACCCTTCTTTCCTTTGCACGCAGTATATAAGTCGGAACGGCCCGGATCGGCCGACTATATCCTATAGCTGCCATATAACGGATTGATCGGAAATGGTATAACTTTGGTGTTTTTAGAGTTAGAGAGTTCAAATTTTACAGGAAAGCTATTTTTGGCAAAACATTACGACATGCCAAATTTCATAAGGATCGGCCGACTATATCTTATAGCTGCCATATAACTGAACGATCGAAAATGACCCAACTTTCGTGTTTTTGAAGATAGAAAGCTGAAACTTAATACAGATTATATTTTTGGCCAGTTGATCCATCCTACCGAATTTCAATAGGATCGGCCGACTATATCCTATAGCTGCCATATAACTGAACGATCGGAAATGACCCAACTTTCGTGTTTTTGAAGATAGAAGTTTGGGACATTTTTTTTAGATTTTTTATTTTAGTTAATTGGTTTTATTATGATGTAATCATAAGGATCGGCCAACTATATCCGATGTTTGCGATATATATCCGGTTTTAGCTGCAAGGGTATATCAACTTCGGCTCCGCCCGAAGTTAGCTTTCCTTTCTTGTTTATAATTTAAGTCTATTGTTCCTGTTTCTAAAACAATTCTTGATTTAATTAAAATAAAACAAGAAATTGCACCACCACATGGAATAAAAAAAATAGCTAAAACATATTTATCTTTATCAAAACATAAAAGGACTGCTATAGTCGAGTTTCCCAAATCAGACAATATAAACGATCTAACGGAAACTTTTGATCCGTTAGCGACTAAAAAATCGATATTTTTGTTATTGCATATTTTTTAAGTATATAATGTTAATAATACTCTCATAAAAATTTATAACGATCGGAGCATTAGAACCGAAGTTGTAGCTATTTATGGCGCACTACCTGCACATCAAACTTGAACAAACTTTAAACGCGATTATCTCAGAATCTTGTTTTTTCGAAGTTATCTTTGCGGTGGACACGATTACTAAAAAACTAGTAATCCGATCAACACCAAATTTTGACCACTTATTTATTATAATATTAGCTAGCGAATTTTTTTGAAAACCCCTTTTTTTAGAGCATAAAAATCGAAAATCTTATACCTTGAAAAAGTACATTTTTTGTTAAGGGGTTATATACAGTTGTGATATATGAAAAAATAGATTTTTTTGTTATTGCATATTCTTTAAGTATATTCTATTGGGAACACTCTCACAAAAATTCATAACGATCGGAGCATTAGAAACGAAGCTGTAGCTATTTATAGCGCACTATCTGCATATACAACTTGAACCAACTTGAAACTTTAAACGCGATTATCTCAGAATCTTTTTTTTGGGAAATTACCTTTGCGGTGGACACGATTACTAAAAAACTACTAATCCGTTCAACACCAAATTTTGACCACTTATTTATTATGAACTTCTTTTTCTTTTTTAAAGCACAAAAAACGAAAATCTTATACGTTGAAAAAGTACATTTTTTGTTAAAAACGTCGCCATTTTTTTTAAATCAAAATTTTTAAAAATCCTTCGTTTACGGACTAGACAATACAATATACTAACTAAACTTTTTTGAATTTTGGATTTCGGATGAACAGTTTTCGAGAAATCATGTCCACCGCAAGACACCATCGAAAAAGGACGATCTTGGAATGCGGCTTTATTATTCATTTTTATTATTTAATATTTTTTTATGAAAAAATTTAAATAAGTACCCAGAAACATGTACTAAACAACCTGAGTAAAAGATTTTAAATAAATATTTTCTATGGTGCCAAAAAAAAAATCAATAAAATTTCATTATTTTGCGCGGTACAACTGTATATAACCCCTTAATCGCATAATTTTTTGCCCCAGTTTTATTACACTCTAGCATCAACAAAGCTTTTTGCTTAGATACAGAACTTAAAATGACTATTTACGTATTGTGGGGCTTTAGGTTTTGGACTCATATAAAAGGACTATCCCCACCTTCAGTAATCAGTTTATCAGCACCTCGTCCAACAGCACCACCACAACCACGACGACAACGAATGCAACCATCACCGATGCAACAACATCATCGCAAGAAGCTCGGCTGTGGGGGCACCGACCTTCACTTCAAAGATAAGGAGGAGGACCAGGAGTGAAACCAGTAGGAATGGCAAGAGCGTGAGGTGGAGGTTAGGGTGACCCACGAAAGGCATGGCTAAGGTTCTAGATTTCCGGTCTTAAATAAAATGCACAAGCTCACAAAATTTAAAGTTTTCTTTAAATGTGTCACCAGATTTTGGAAGAATCCGATAGTCTATAAGGTTTGGAACCTAAAAAATTGGTCTTGGGTGACAATGAGAGTCTGAAACGAATACATTTGAAATGACAAACAAGTCATTCATATACTTACTTTTGCCGGTATCAAATAATACGAATTAAAAAAGTACAATCAAAGCAACCATCGTTTTGGTACTTATGAGTACCAAATACTTGCTTAGGCTTGGCATTACTGCACATTAGAATGTGTGCTAGGTTCGTACAAGTACAAATCGATGCTTACTATACCGAGTACCATTTGAATGTATTTGTTCAAAAATAAATTCATTTGAAAAAAAGAAAGGAAAGCTAACTTCGGGCGGAGCCGAAGTTTATGTACCCTTGCAGTTAAAACCGGATATATATCGCAAAAATCGGATGTAGAGGGCCGATCATTATGAGAATATCACAATATTATAATATCATATGAGAATAATATTATAACCAATTTATTACAATAAAAAATCTAACAAGAAAGGAAAGCTAACTTCTGGCGGAGGCGAAGTTAATATACCCTTGCAGTTAAAACCGGATATATAACGCAAACATCGGATATGGATGGCCGATCCTTATGAGAATATGATAATATAACTCAAGTTATTATTATATAGAATCTAAAAAAAATCCAAAATTTCTATGTTCAAAAATACCAAAGTTGGTATTTCTACAAAAAACCATTTCCGATCGTTCAGTTATATGGCAGCTATAAATCAGCCCGTCGTTATAAAATTTGGTAGGTCGGATTAACTGACCAAAAATATAATCTGTACCAAGTTCCAGCTTTCTATATTCAAAAACACAAAAATTGGGTCAATTCCGATCGGTCAGTTATATGGCAGCTATAGGATATAGTCGGCCGATCCTTATGAATAATTTGGTAGGTCTGATTATCTGACCAAAAGTAGTATTTGTACGAAGTTTAAGATTTCTATCTTCAAAAACACAAAAATTGGGTCAATTCCGATCGTTCAGTTATATGGCAGCTATGGGATATAGTCGGCCGATCCCTTTGAAATTTAGCATGTCGTATATTTTGCAAAAAGTAGCTCTCATGTGAAATTTGAACTCTCTAACTTTAAAAACACTAAAGTTATACCATTTCTGATCAATCAGTTATATTGCAGCTATAGGATATAGTCGGCCGATCCGAGCCGTTCCGACTTATATACTGCGTGCAAAGGAAAGAAGGGTGTGTGCAAAGTTTCAAGTCGATAGCTTTTAAACTGAGAGACTAGTTCGCGTAGAAACATACAGACAGACGGACAGACGGACATGCTCATATCAACTCAGGAGGTGATCCTGATCATGAATATATATACTTTGTTGGGTCGGAGATGTCTCCTTCACTGCGTTGCACACTTTTGGACAAAATTATAATACCCTCTGCAAGGATATAAAAAAAGCACCAAGCTTCTATCTTCAAAAATAAAAAAGATGGTTTTTTTACTAAACACCATAAACTATTCCCGACCGTTAAGTTATATGGCAGCTATAAGATATAGTCGGCCGATCGGCTTGAAATTTTGTAGTTCGGATCAACTGAGAAAAAATAGAATCTCTAGTTCGCTTAGAAACAGGCAGGCAGACATATTAACTCAGGAGATGATCTTGATCAAGAATATATACACTTTATAGGGTCGCAGATGTCTCCTTCACTCCGTTGCACAGTTTTGGACAAAATTATAATACCCTCTGCAAGGGTATAATAAATCACAATATATATAATCACGTTTTTGTTTTAATAGCAAGCAAATAAAATTAACAATTTTTGTAGCGACTATAGACCAAAACTGCCATAATACGACCTACCAAAGTTCGTATTATAAAGGTAAAAATTTTGACACAGACTTGATCTGAGCGGAAACCATACGAGTCCTAGTTCAAGTCCAAGTCCAACCCAAATCCGATGGTTTTATCTCTTATAGTCTTCGAGTCTTCGTTTTTATAGAGATGTTTCCTTCTCTATGTTACTTTCATTCACGCGACTACAATATACCTTACGAGTACGAGTACAAGGTACACTACTGAATCCCTACTGAATATACACTTAGCACCTAATTATCTTACCCTACCTAAGTACAGGTAAGATAGCTTACCCTATAAAATATATAGTATGGATTGGTGGATTCAGTTTAGCGGGTGCAAGGTATCCACGTGTAGGTTAATTTGACGGGCTGTAGTAAGCCCGAAATCCCCTCTTGGGCTTCCACACTAAAAAGCATTACCCAGCCAAGGAGTTCAATAGAGTGCTCTAATTACCTTTGCCCAATCGATATGACTTAACATGATTTCATATGTATGGCTTCCTTGTCACTGGTGCCCACTGTCGTTGCGTCTTGGCCATCAGTCGATGAGTCTCATGGAGCGTTGGTGCAACAAAGTCGCCGTGGTATCCGGAGCCAGTTCCGGAATCGGTGCAGCCTGTGTCCGGGCACTGGTCGGGGCTGGAATGGTGGTTGTTGGGCTTGCTAGACGCCAGGAACGAGTAGAGCAGCTCCGCGAGGAGCTGGCCGGGGAGAAGCAATCACGACTTCATGCGATCAGGTGCGACGTATCTCGAAATGAGCAAGTGTCGGAGGCTTTCGAATGGATTAAGAAGCATCTTGGCGCCGTGGACGTGTTAGTGAGTAACGCCGGCATCATGGCCACCGGCGAGCTAAGTGGCCAGGATGATGCCGAGGCCATGCTGGCTACGATGGAGACGAATGTAATGGGCGGCGTCTATTGCATCCGTGAAGCGTTTCAATCGATGCGGGAACGTGGAGCTGAAGGCCACGTAGTCATAGTAAATAGTGTCGCTGGTCAACAGGTGCCCAACCTGGGCCCTCAACTGCCGTCTCTCAACATTTACCCGGCTAGCAAGTTCGCGCTCACAGCAATGAATGAGATCTATCGGCAAGAGTTCCAGAGGCACAAAACGCTCGTTAGAGTATCGGTGAGTTTAAAACACCATTTCAAGCTTTCTAATTAATAAGAAAAATTCTTCGGTTCCTAGACAATCAGCCCTGGGATCGTTGATACAGACATCTTGCCACAGCAAATCCAGGGGGTCATTAAACAGCACATGCCTATGCTGCAGTGTGCGGATGTTGCAGATGCAGTGCTTTGGACTATCGGAACACCGCCCAACGTACAGGTTAGACTTTAATAAATAAATAAAATATTGCAATCTTTTATAATAATTTATAATTTACGTATTTATAAAACGTGTTTTTTTTCAGGTCCACAATGTAACCATAAAACCCCAGGGGGAAAAATTTTAATCTTTATTTATCGCAATTCGCATAAATAATTATTTTCTGATATAAAAAATAAATGATTTACAAAATTGTTTTCCAATTCACTTATTAAGATCAGAAGATCAAAAGGCTTAAAATTTCCTCGTAAAAATGTACACATCATACATAAACATAGTACTTTAATATTAAAATAATTCTGGATCAAATGAGCCAGTTTTGCCTTTTTGGGGCCTTGAACTTTGATATTTGAAGTATCATTGAACTTTAGGTTATCAGCAACTTCAACAGCCATTCTAATTCTCCAAGTCAAGACTTGTGGAACATGAGCTTGGCCAGTGAAAGGCAAGGTGCAGATTAATTTGCAAAAAACAGCCACTAAATTATAAAATTATAATCCCATTTATCTAGTCTGCTCCACTTTGCATAATCTTTTGAATAAACGAAACGGTGCAATATATTAAAATTCATTCGATGCCAGATGAAAGTCAACTAGTCGATCTTAACTGCAAGGGTATATCAACTTCGGCTGCGCCCGAAGATACATTTCCTTTCTCTTTTTATACCCTTGCAGAGGGTATTATAATTTTGTCCAAAAGTGTGCAACGCAGTGAAGGAGACATCTCCGACCCTATAAAGTATATATATTCATGATCAGGATTACCTCCTGAGTTGATATGAGCATGTCCGTCTGTCCGTTTGTCTGTCTGTTTCTACGCGAACTAGTCTCTCAGTTTTAAAGCTATCGACTCGAAACTTTGCACACACTCTTTCCTTTGCACGCAGTATATAAGTCGGAACTACCGGGATCGGCCGACTATATCCTATAGCTGCCATATAACTGATTGAGCGGAAATGGTATAACTTTGGTGTTTTTAGAGTTCAAATTTGACATGAGAGCTATTTTTGGCAAATTGCGACATGCCAAATTTCACAAGGATCGGTCGACTATATCCTATAGCTGCCATAAAACTGAACGATCGGAAATGACCCAACGTTCGTGTTTTTGAAGATAGAAAGCTGGAATTTGGTACAGATTAATTAATCCGTTACTGAACGATCAGAAATGGTTTTAGGTTGAAATACCAATTTTGGTATCAAAGTTTTCACACAGCACAGATGGCCAAAGCGATGAAGGCGACGACGAAATGGTATTTCCATTTGAATACTCTGTCCTGCCTGATTTGAAATGTATGAAATGAGAAGGAACAAGCTCCTTACACTAAAGGATGCTAAGGGATCTTTGGCTATCAACAAGAATTTTAGCGAATGGACTGCTAGAAAAACGCTGCGACACATCGGATATATTGCAAGTGTGAAAAAAAACAAACATTCATTATCCGATAAAAAGGTTACAGCGCGATTGAAATTTGCAAGGGCACACAAAAATGGGACTGTTGACGATTCGAATCGTGTTATCTGGTCTCACGAGTCAAAATTTAACCCTTTTCAGTCTGACGGAAAGCAATATTTCTGGTGTAGATCTGAAGATCGAATCCAATGACACCATGTAAAACAAACTGTAAAACGTGGTGGTAGAAGTATAATGGCTTGACGATGCTTCACATGGTGACATGTTGGCCCTCTACAGTTAATATAAGGTATTAGAAAGAGGACTAACTAAAAATCTTGCAGACCAATCTTCCCAATTTTATTGAAAAATGTGCTTATTCCAAAAAAGAAATGGTTTTTCAACAAGATGGGGATTCGAAGCACTCTTCGAAAATTGTTAAGGAATGGATTGGAAGGCAAACTTTGAATTTAATGGAATGCCGGTCGATTGAATACGATTGAAAATCTTTGGTCAATCATGAAAAGATGGCTCGGGCAGTACGAAACAGTTTCATCAAACAGGGGCAACCATTGAGAGCGTTTTGTAGCTGAATGGATACGTATTCCTTAAAATATAATAGAAATTTTGGTAGAGAACATTTCTTTGGACAAAATATTAATATTATTTTGGAAATTAAAACTCTTTGAAACGTGCAAAATGGAGTTTATGTGGGTTTTTTTCGTTTTTAATTTATGTCTCCCCGAATTCATCTGTATCATCATTTTTTTTGCTTAGAATTTATTAAAAATTAAATAATTAATAGAAAACGAAAAAAATTTTAGATTTGGTTGTGTGATTCTGATTTTATGGGTGACCAAAGTCTGATATATGTATGTATGAACGTTTGTTCTGGACTTTGGTTCAGTGAAGCCTAAAAAGCTTTTGAAGATTTTAAAGCAGAAAAACTTATTCGTGGTGGGAATAAAATTTGAAATTGTCGGCCTGTGTTAATGATCAATGATCATAGCTCGCAAAAAGGTGTTAACCGATTGGTGGGGTCTCAAATTTTACATCGCATTATTAATGCATGTACAAAAATTGTTACAATGTAAGGAAATCAAATTTTATTCCTCGACAGAGAGGGATTCATGGGAATAGTTTATTCAATTTATAATTTCCTTGGTATGAATTTAAGGCACCTTATCACCTTGTGGGATCAAAAAGTGCTCGTTTTTTAGGAATTTTTTTTGAGAAAACGGTTAAAGATACAGCGCTGAAATTTTCGTCAGAATATAAACATATATTTATTCAAAGAATACAAATTTTGAACTTGAAAAAATCCAAAAAGGGGGGGGAGGGGGCGCCCATTGGTGGCGGCATGCATTTTGCTCCCGTGCAGGATTGGCTGAGAACCCGTGATCTGAAACAAAAAAACCGAACACATTCTTAATTAGTATCGTATCATCTATCAAATGACCCTCTATCATGAAAAAAAATCAAAATTCCAAAAGTTATGAGGTTTTGAAAAAAAATGTCAATTTTCGCATTTTTTCTGTACTGATTATTTTTTAAATAAACAATTTCCAATATTTTTGGCTGGTCACGGGTCATTTGTTAGAAAAAACCCTAAGGAACATTTTTAAAAAAATTTGGTGACGATTGGTTCATTGTAGCGTCTTTAATCCTGCACGTAAGGTCCAAAAACATGGTTCTGAGAAAAACGCGTTTAAAGTTTTGGCTTCAAAAAGAAATGAACAAATATCGCTCGGCAGGTGCTCGACAGTGCTCTATGTAACGGGCTATAACTTTCGAAATTTTTCAGATTTCGATCTGAAACTTTTACAGCACATTTTTGGAACATATATCTACACGATAAGACAAAAAAAAAAAATCGATTTTTTGGACCCCACAAGGTGATAAGGTGCCTTAATTACTTTAAGAAATCAAACGTCATGCTCGCAACTTACTTTCTGTTATTCGTTACTTATACTAATGAACTCAAATTATATCAATGTGTTGAGTGGCGACCACTGTTATAGATAGTGTTTTTGTGATAGATATGTGTTATACCGTTAAATATTCCTCGTCATTCACATAAAACTTTTTTAAATTATGATCGAAAATAATAAATAAAATAATTTTTTTTTATGATTATAGGTTCACTGGCTATTCCATCCAGTTCCTCTACGAGCGTAAGGCACTAGGCCAAAAAGCAAAAATTTGGGAATTTTTTTTTTTTTTTAATATGACCTCCTTTTGCTGTGCCATTGGCAGCTCCTGAGCCAAGATGTGCAAAGCTGCATCAAGCAGATTATGCTGCAAGCTGTCATCGCCGAAAAGGTGAAGAATGTGAGGAGTGGCATCGGCCAGGTGGTCGGCTGTCTGCAAACATCGATGTTTCTGCACCTCTATTACATATGTTACACAATGTGACCGAACACCGGTTAGCATTTAAATCAAACACGTTTGATTCTGATTAAACTTCGGGTATTGGTTGCTATCGTAACAAAATCATACATGGGCCCATTACTTGTGTTTGGAACTTTTTCGTCGACATTGAATTGGAAACAAAAGGTTCAATTTCTACCCATGATATACCAATTATACCCATGTACTCGATTATGAGCAAACATTTTATACTCGTTGCAGTTCTCTGCAACTATAAATACTATAAATATGTAAATTAACATTGTGATGCATTTAATAAAAAATAAACAGTCATATTTCTATTTAAAAATAAAATGATTTCTAATTTTGTGTGTTTTAGCCTAGTGCGTTTTTCATTTAAAACATGGCCCATGTTGAAAAACACTTTAGCTCGAGTACATCGATACTTTAGCTTGAATACATCGGTACTTTTGATATTGATATTTCAAAATATCGATATATCGAGATATATCGCATATTTTAGGTAATACCCAAATTTTTTTTATTTAATCTTCTATTTACAATCTGTCTGTAGAAACCATAAATAAATTGTATTAAAATAATTTAATAGAATGGTATTAATATTAAATTAACAGAAATAGAAGTTTTCCAATGAATCCAGCTATTATATATAACTTGTCTTCATTTGGTTGTATTTAAATATTTATATTATATTTACACATATATCGCATATTTACACACATTTACACATATTTACATATATCGGGGAGATCGAATATGTGATATCTTTTCAGTCTTCTTATTGTTAAACTATTGTCTAGTAGATTTAGGGCTAATTTATTTTCATGGTTATCGATGTATTTCTTAGTAATTTTATTTATTTCTTCTTTTATTGTTGGGATATTAAGATCTTTGTGAATATTTGCATTAGATACGTAATAAGGAGCATTGACAATTTGTCGCAAAGTTTTTGATTGGTATCGCTGAAGTATCAGAATATTTGAATGGCTGGCAGTTCCCCAGTATAGCGTAGGTCCTGACAGGCTTCAATATGGATTTGTGTCAGCGACGTTGCAAAAGATCGGGGAGCCCAGCTCCCTCTCCTTGAAATCAGACACAGCGCACATTTTGAAAATAATTTCGAGAAGCTCCGACACCCAAGAGTCCGTTTTGGCCGCCTCGTGGCGCACCAGACAGCCCACCACCTGGCCGATGCCACTCCTCACATTCTTCACCTTTTCGGCGATGACAGCTTGCAGCATCATCTGCTTGATAATAATTTTATATTTAAAAATATAATTAAAAAGTCTTTATAGAATTTTTATTTAAACGAAAAACAATAAAAAATTTATTCAATTAACATATTAAGAGAAATTAATAAAATAAAAACAAAAATTCAGTCCATAGAGATCGGATAAGTCACTTATTAAAGATATAGTAATTCTTATTTATAAACATTAGCTGGTCAACGACTTCGGACTTCAACCGGGTACGGCGATCCGAAATTATTTGGCCTGCTTTGCTAAAGGCTCTCTCTGATTCACACGAAGTGGCTGGAATACATAAGAATTTTTTTGTTAGCTCCTTGAAGGGCTGCATGTTGTTTGAACACAGCTAGAATTAGAATAATTTATTTTAAAATAATCATAATACACAATTTCTATATTTACCATCCAAAAATTTAAGGGATCGCAAGTTTCTGGCTCGTTCCCGCTTTCTACGTGTTGCCTGAGCAATATAATTGCGTCAGAACGCGTAGGCGTTGTTCTTGAACTTAGTTTGAGTTAAAGATTTGTAAAATAGCTCGAAGTTGGATTGGGTGGTGTAGGCGCTATCGACGCTGATGTGAATGGTTCTTGAGCCAAATTTTTAAAAACATTGTGAAGCTCGTCTTCTAATGCTCGATATGCTTGATCGGCATTATTTGTTCTTTGGAAGCCCTGTTTTTTAAACCTGGGGTCAATTAATGTTGCCATCCTAGGAACGGTGCGCGTTTCATAGTGCCCGAAACGATCATTATAGCGATCACTTAAAAAGTTGAATGCCAGAATGGCTTCTGCGCTTTTAAAGCTATGTTTATAAGAAAACACTTGTATTTGCATTTCGCAGACAATTGGAATTACAAGGGACACAGTGGGGTACTTCCCGCCCGATATTAATTTTGTGGCTTTCGAACGGACGAAGCAATGAACAAAGTTCCTCTAGGACACCAATTTCCTCGGCAGAGAAAGGTGCCGGAGCCTTTGCAGTTCCTAACAATGTGATTGAGAGTGCCTCAATAGTCTGCAAAATTCGTTCCATCATTTGGAAGGCACTGTTCCACCTAGTTGGTACCTCTTGAATTAATCCAAGGGGGTCTGTCACCATTTGAGCGTCCTTAAAATGCGACAACAGTCTTGCACTTGATAAGAATGGTTCGAATAATCTCCAATTTGAGAATTTCTTGAACCAGCAAATTAATCGTGTGCGCAAAACATGGAAAATGTTTAATTTTCAAATGTTCGCATGCCTTCTTCATTGTAGCGTCGTTATCTGTAGCGTCGTTATGTCCTTCTTCATTTTAGCGTCGTTATCTGTAGCTATAGTTACAAGTTTATGTAGAAGTTTCCACTCATTTAGTACTTGCCGAATAGTATCAGCGATATTCAGTGCTGACTGATTTGTGGGCGTCAAAAGACTCGCCGTCGACAAGACCGCTGTAATTAGCTGAAACTTTTTGTTTACAAAGTGGCACGTAACCGTTATGTAAGCTTCATTTGCACGGGAAGTCAATCCATCCGTGGTAATTGCAACGTACTGGACACCTTCGAGCTCACATTCCAGATCCTTTCTTAAATCTTTGTATATCTTAAGGGGCCCATCCACAGCATGTTCCAGCGAGCATGTTGACGAACATTCAAGTAGGCGAGCATGTTGACGAACATGCTCGCCTACTTGAATTTCATTTTCCCCACTAACTAGGCCAACATTCGTGCGAACATCATTTTTCAACAAATTTTCAAACTGTCAACATGTCAACGGACAACGACAGCGGCACTGTAATTGCACTTATGGCAATAAGTATTTGCTTAGAAAAAAAGAAAAAACAAAATGATGAAGTGAAAAAAGGAAGCACAGTATGTGGATGAAGGAATGGTACGCAAAGTGGATAAATTTCACACATACGAAGCTTTTAAAGGAGTTGCATGAAACGTCTTCTATGGATTTAAAAAACTTTCTTCGAATGGACAGTTCTACATATGAAAAACTGTTAAATTTAGTAGTGCCTGAAAACGAAGACAGGACACACAAATGCGTGAGGCAATAAGCGCAAAAGAACGCCTTTCAGCGACTTTGCGTTTTTTGGCTAGCGGCCAAATTTATGAAGACCTGAAATTCTTAACAGGAATTTCTCCCCAGAGCCTAGGGCGCATAATAATTGAAACATGTCGAGCAATAATTAAAATGCTAAAGTCTTATATCAAGGTAACAAATTTTTTATTATTTATAATATATATAATGTACTACATGGGTTTATTCATCGCTGTAGAACAATTCTTCAAAGGATGTAGCAGAAACGGTTCTGTTTTTGGTTTTTATAAAATCATTTTTGTTGTCTTTCAATTGATTAGACGAAAAAGAAGATGTATTTGAGTCTCTCATATGTGGAGTGCTCTCACGATACATTTGTTTTCGTGAATACATGGATGCTGGCATCTGGCATTGACCATTAGAATTTGTATTATTAGGAATATTTGCAATGCTTGACACCCCTTGATATGTCAGCATATTCATGCACCCTTGCATGAGGATCTGGTCTATGCCTTTTTTCGCAAAAAGCTGCTGCTCCTTTAATAGCTACATGGCAGCCCACCCTTCTGCATATATGTCTGCTTCACACCTTTGTTGCTTTGCGCTAATGTTGTCCAAGTGCGCTACTGCTTTCTGTAGGAACTAGAGGTGGGCACGGGCCGGGCTTTTTTCGTGGCCCGCGGGCTTACACAGGCCCGAAGCGGGCCCGGGCCTTAAAATTAAGATTCGTGCGGGCCCGGGCCTTTTCAAAACGGCCCGGCCCGTAAAAACCCGAAATAGGCCTTAAAACAATTTTGATTTGACCGCGCATTTTTTTTTATTCTCGAATTGCAACCGCCATTAATCGTATTTTAATTGCTTATCGATGTTACTATCGATTTGCTTAAACAATATTTTACTTGTTTGCACACCACTATTTAAAATCTGGCCATATTGTGAAATTCATAAACTTTGAAAAATAAAATAAAAATAAAAACATGAATTAGGATTAATAAATATGAACTTATATATATGTATACATAAATAACATGTCTTTTAAATTTTGAAATATGTTTAAATAAGTTTCGTGCCGGGACGGGCCGGGCCCGGGCCTTGATGAAAAAGTTTCGTGTTCGGCCGGGCCGGGCCTCTCAAAAAAGATTTTGTTTTCGTGCGTTCCGGGCCCCAAAATACAGGCCCGCGCCCACCTCTAGTAGGAACTGCGTAGATTCATCCGGTTTTCGTTTCGACGCCTTCGGCTAAAAAATTAAATTAGCAATTATTAACGAATTTCATATTTTTTTTAGATTCCAGGAAATGAAAAAGAGTGAAAAAAAAACAGCTGATGATTTCGAAAAACAATGGAATCTCATAAATTGCATAGGAGCTATTGACGGAAAGCATGTGCATATTAAGAAACCAAAATCATCAGGATCATTCTATTTTAATTATAAAAAAACGTTCAGCATTGTCCTGATGGCTATAGTAAATGCACAATATGAATTCATTTGTGTGGAAGTTGGAGCAAATGGCAGGGCATCAGATGCTGGTGTATTTGCACAATCGGAATATAAAAGGCGCTACGATGACCAATCACTATTCATTCCGAAGCCTCGCCAAATTGCAAATACATCATATGAACTGCCACATGTGCTAGTAGGGGACGACGCCTTTCCATTATCACAAAATTTGATGAAGCCATACAGTCGACAAAAATTGCTAAAGGAGGAGCTGATTTTCAATTACCGCCTCTCAAGAGCTAGGCGTATAGTGGAAAATGCATTTGGCATAATAGTGACCAGATTTAGAATACTTCTTAATACTATTTCTTTAGAGCCGGAAAAGGCTTCGGTGATAGTTCTATGTTGTTTCTATTTGCACAACTATTTGTCGAAGAGAAGTGGAGCTGTATATTTGCGAGGTTCAGCAGATCCAGTCAATTCATTTGGAGGCAATCATTACAACCATGAAATGGACGATTTGCAACCGTTGACAGGTGGCAATTGCCCAGAAAATGCCAAAAGAATTCGTGATAACTTACGCGAATATTTTAACACAATTGAAGCAGTACCTTGGCAGAATGATCGAATTTAATATAAAATTATGTTCTTAATATGCACAATAAACCTTTGTTTTCAATTTTATTAAAATACTTACTATGTCATTGTCTGGGCCGTCATCAAAAGTGCTGATTCCATCCACCGAGGATTCTGTTTCATTAAGAAAAGACAGGTCACTGAAGTACCACAAGCTCGGCTGGTAAACATTGTCCGCTCCAGCGCCTGATTTTTCACTTCGATGCACCTTTTGTAGTTTTCGTCTATATGACGCACGCAACGAATTGACTTTCTCCTTAACGGTTTCTAGTGTGGCGTGCTCATCGAACTCTTTATATTTTTTGAGTAGAACTTCCCATGCATTATTACGCGATTGCTTATTTTTATATGCATCGCTTTTGGCGTGCCATAGCGCAGGCTCATTTTTTAGGCTATCAATAAAATCTAGCAGGAATGTTTTGTTAATTTTGCTCTACAAAAACGTTTTTCCAACTGACGTTCGTGCCAACATTGCCATCCATTTACGAGCATGTTGTTGCCAACGTTGTCAAAATAGAACGATTTCAATTCCATTCGAACATTTTGACGAACACAAAATTTGACAACGAACACTACCATCCACAGGAAAAATTTCGTCGAGCACAACATGTTCGCCGAACATGCTCGCCTGTGGATGGGCCCCTTTAGGTAGCATTACTTCTCTGAAAAAGGTTCTGCTCGGGATTTTATATTTAGGGTCCATGTTCTGCATTAAATTACGGAATCCATCGTCCCCAACTATGGAAAACGGTTGAACGTCCCGTGCTATCATGAGCATTACATATTTGTCCATTGTTTTTTTCTTTTGGGACTCTGGCAGATACTCTATATTTCGTTGCATGGAACTATCTAGACTTGGTGACTGACCATCTATTTCTAAAACACTATAGTTTGGATGTATACGTTTGAGGTGGTCCATTAAGTTAGTTGTGTTTCCTGTAGTGCTGCAAAAACATCGGCACACTATCGATACTATCGATGTTTTTATTTTTTTAAAGAAAACATCGATGTTTTTTTTGCGCTATCGATGTTTTGTTTGAATGGATTACCATCACAAAATTTACTAAAAGCGCGCGAAGCAGGTTTGGGTAACATTATAAATTACAGATTATTTTAGAAGCTTGGCTTAAATTGGTGTTGGCGGTCGTACGATGGCTAGTCCTGTAAATAGAAAGCGTAAGTACATGTTTCTAATCTGTTTGAAGGTGATTAATTCATGGCTTGTGTGTTTTCAGGCAAGGCAACTATCACAACAGGCAACGACAATGCGGCAAGCAATTGCGAAATAAATATTTCAGATGAGGAGAATAGTAGCTGTATTCTGAGCAGCAATGCAGCAGCTATGCCTGGCAAGTCAAAAGTTTGGCCATTTTTTGAAAAGTCGAAGGATAG